GGGGGAATTGAAAAGTCAAAGTTCAGTTCAGGACAAGTCCTTTCAGCTATACCCTGGAAAGCAATCCACCCTTTTGCCTACCTGGTGAGAACATCATCCTCTAGCTGGGCAATCAACTCATCTTTTTTTTGGATGGTAGTGTCTCGCACCTCTAACGCCTCCCTGACAACCCCTAACTTCTCCCTGACAGCATCATTGGCCTCTGCTAGCACCTTGTACTCCTTCTTCATGTTCCTGAAGGAAGCCAGAGCATTAAGGAACTTCCGGCTCTCCTCGATCCAGTCATCGGTTTTTAATCGAAGGTCTTCTTTAGTCTTGCTGAGCTCCTCTTGTCTGGACTTGGCAAGGGAAGACTGCTGCTCTACTTTCTCTTGCAACTCCTTTACCTGGACCCTAAGGTCATTATTCTCAAAGGCCAGATTGACACACTTCAGCTCAAAAGCTTTGGAAGCATTGGCCGACCCCTCAAGGGCTTGGATTCGCTTTAACAAGCTGCTTATTTGAATGGCGGTCTGAAGACAAGCATGAAAGATTAGTGTAAAGGGAAGAGCGCAGGACAACCAAAGAAAAAAAAAAGAGGAGAATTTGACAAATTAGAATTTCACCGAGGTACAGCCATACAGCGCAGTGGAAACACAGGTTTCCAGGGGTACAGAAATGGCCGCATCAATGTCAGACTCTGGGATGATGGAGGCAATGGCCTCTGCAGCATGCTTCACATTGGTAATAACAGAATTCTCAGACTTCGAGAAGACCCCTTTGCCAGGCATGAGAGGTTGGGAGGTCTCCTTGGTTGATGCAGAAGTAGCACGACCAGGGAAAATGCGAGTAGTCTCCAGGGCCCTCTCAACTTCAGATGCAGAAGGGGAGGACTGGTCTCGCCCAAGAGCATCTTCAATGGCAGGTCGGGTCCCTTGGGAGAGAGGAAGTCCTGAGGTTGGTGAAGCATGTAGGGGGGATGATGGAGCCTTTTGGATAGAGGCAGAGGCAGAGGCAGAGGAAGTACCCATTTTCTAAACCTTAGCTCGAGTAACTAGGCTCCCACCAGAACTGCCCTCAGCCTTACGCTTGGTACCACCCTTGTTTTTCTTCTTCAATAGCTCTACCTTAGCTTGGAGCATCTCAGGGGTAGGCTTCATTGTAGAGGACCCTGGGAGATTTGGCTTGAGATGGTTAATCAAAAAGAAAAAGAAAGGGAGGAAAGCAATGAAACCAAATAAGGGAAAGAGCATTATCTTCTATGTCCTCAGGTCGGATAAAGGAAAGTGAGATTGGAGGAGGGCCAAATCCCTTCCTTTCTAATTCCTAGGGCTTAAGGAGCTCAAAGTACCTCTCTGGATTACACTTAGTCAACTTCAGTTTCACCCGCTTGTCCTCGGCGCTGAGTTCAGGTCGAATGCCTAAGAAAGGAGGAACACCAAAAATGCAGAGGTCGGGAAAACAACTCATAAATCTTCAAACCGCAGTTCGGTCAGGCAAGAACTCACCTAAGTTATCTGGGACTGACCAGGCTCTGAGAATCCCAAGAGTGTCTGTTTTATCAGCAAGGTTGTATTCCCAGTTGACACCCCCAACGAAAAAGAAATTCTTTTTTCAGCCTTTATGAGAACTCGGGAGATGTGTGATGATCTGCCTAGACAAGGTCCGCCTAGAAACATATAGAAAGCCCTCAGTTGAGGTAAGCTTGACATTGAAAAGGTCCATAAGCAGAGAAATGGTGGGAGTCCCAAGCCCATGCTTCTTAAAAAAAACTAAAAAACCCACTAAAACACCCCAGAAGTTAGGAAAAAGCTGAGCAGGGCAGACATTGAGGTGCTGCAGAACATTTTTAATGAAGGGGTGCATAGGGAAACGAAGGCCATTCTCGAAAACGGCCACAAAGAAACAAACTCTTTTGTGCACTTGGGCAACGTATGGGGTGAGTTTATCCGGGCACCAGGGCTGAACACCAGGGGGGAAACCAAAACGAGCACTAAGAGCTTCCATGAGAATAGGATCCACCCCACTGGGACCCACGAGCTCAGCATGCCTGAAGGCAGCCCCCATACCCGCTGTACTATCAAGAATCCCAACCTCGCTCACCTTGCCCTTACCCTTGTCAGCACTAGGAGGTACATGAGAGGAAAATGAGGGGAGTTCCTTGGAGTTCACCTCGGTATCGACAATCTAAACACCGGGAAAGTTGTCAATCTCATCACTTACATCCCCTAAATCAGAATCTCTCTCTGCAGACCTGTCGCCTAGGAGGGAAACAGAGGAGGGAGTTGCTCCAGAGAAGACAGACATGATTGGCAAAGAGAAAGGCAAATCGAAAGAATTATAAAAAGAAGAAATACTAAATAAACACCCCCTGATAATCCTAAGGTCAGCACTGTACCTCCCGACAGTAAGAATTCGCACAGTGGAGTTCCAATCCACAAAGTGGGGAAGAGGAGATAGGCAACGATCGCGATTCCAAAAGAAAAAGAATCGAAAAACCCAGAAAAACAATGGCCACCTCGAAGTCGAGGGATCCAGAGTGAGGAAAGGCAAGAGAAAGAAAAAGGGGCGGAAGGAAGCGTACCTAGACAGGGAAGAGAGTAACAAACAGCTGCCAAAGAACAAAATTGGAGGAGAAGAGCAAAACAGGACTTCGAGTCGAACCCAGAAAGCACAGTTTTGAGAAGAGAATAAGAGAATCGCGTGGAGGAAAACCCAGAAATCGCAGAGAGAAAGAGCCGGAGACAAAGGTGAATAACGTAGAAGATGAACAGGGAGTTTTGAGCGGTTTTTTGAGAGCCGATTGAGCATTTAAAGCTTGAGTGACGTGGGCTGAAACATGCGCGGGAATCGAGAAAGCCATGATTGTTGTAAACCGTCGAAGAGCCTCCCACGTGCATCTCACATGCGGACTAAGGTCAGCTAGGTGCAGGCCTAGTCCAATGCGAAAGCAGCTCAGCCCATGCCCAAGCTCACTTGGGCCAAGGGCTGGGGGGCAACTGATGATGCCTAAAGTAAATTCCAAGTGTTACTCAAGAGGTCAGCTCAGCCCAGGAGGTCAGCTCAGACCGGGAGGTCAGCCATATTAACTGAGGTCAGAAGGCAAGGGCTGAATGTCTCTTGAGGCAAGGCAACGGCTGAATAACCACAAGGGGTTCCTAAAGCGTTAGGAAGCTATAATCAAGACACCTAATCTTGACCAACTAAGATCTTCTCGTATAATCTAGGAGAACTCCACGAAATAAGGGTAAGAATCTCGGCCAAGATCCCACTGAATAGGGAACAGTCCTATAAATACTATGTAACGCCTCCAAGGAAATGGGGGGACCTTAGAGGCAAAAATTAGTCATTGTACTCTTGCAATCATCATTATTGAAAGACAAGGAGCAAGAGTCTCCATTAAATAGTGGATTAACCGAGCTTCCGAGCTGGTGAATCACTATACTTCTTCTATGTTAATCCTCCCAGCCCCTAGAAAAACATTTCTTTCATTATCACAACATCATCACTGAAAAGCATAATCACTATTCATTACTCATACAATTCGGGTTACGCCATCACATATCCTTTGACATTTGTTTTTAATCAGCTCAAAGGGAAGTCCACAACGATAAAAACATACTGCCATTGTGGATATGAATACTCCATCTGACTCATCCTTTTATTAACTTTCATCTCGATTTTGATCTTTTTGTACTTCCAGATTTACATGATAGAAATGTTTTTGCTTATTGAATTGTCTTTCTTGGATTTGTCTCTTACAAAGAGGTAAATGCTAATGAAATGTTTTGTTGGAGGTGATAAAACTTAATTTATCTCATGGTGTTGTGTCATATGTATAAAAGTTCTCTCTCTCTCTCTCTCTCCCTCCCTCCTTGATTGATAATGTGTGCCCGCAACCACTACTCCTTTGCTGCCTCTCAAGTTTTTTTGTCAAGTTTTAAATACTCATCAGTTTTGCAGGAACTCTAATCAGAATGATTCAAAATGTCACTAATCTGGTCTCTATCTATTGTATGAAAAAAAAAAGCTTATTTATTTTTATTTGAGGGCCTTAAGGAAGTCAGACATATGGGNCTACTCCTTTGCTGCCTCTCAAGTTTTTTTGTCGAGTTTTAAATACTTATCAGTTTTGCAGGAACTCTAATCAGAATGATTCAAAATGTCACTAATCTGGTCTCTATCTATTGTATGAAAAAAAAAGCTTATTTATTTTTATTTGAGGGCCTTAAGGAAGTCAGACATATGGGTCAATCTGAAATAGTAGAAAAACGCACTTTTTTGTGTGCATTTGTACTAGGTTCATGGGAGGTTTCTGATTCTGATTCTATCAAACTAAGAGAGAGAGAGAGAGAGAGAGAGAGAGAGATTTGATCCATGACTCCGTATGTGTATGTGTATGTGTGTGTGCATATTATACATCCACAGACACACAAACACAGACACATACATCGCACACACACACACACACATGTGGGTGCAATTGATTTTAATGTATTAGGCAGACCACTTGAATATACTACGCTGAATGTTTGGTGCCATATGCATGTATTTATAAAACTCTTTGAAAGTTAAATTAGCAGGATGAACTATGATGTTGCAGACAAGATATAACTTTTTTTATCAGAAAAANTGATTCTGATTCTATCAAACTAAGAGAGAGAGAGAGAGAGAGATTTGATCCATGACTCCGTATGTGTATGTGTATGTGTGTGTGCATATTATACATCCACAGACACACAAACACAGACACATACATCGCACACACACACGCACACACATGTGGGTGCAATTGATTTTAATGTATTAGGCAGACCACTTGAATATACTACGCTGAATGTTTGGTGCCATATGCATGTATTTATAAAACTCTTTGAAAGTTAAATTAGCAGGATGAACTATGATGTTGCAGACAAGATATAACTTTTTTTATCAGAAAAAAATTATTTATATCGATATGACGCAACCAATTCTCTCTTGTATGTTGATATTTCTTCTCTTCTAATTAGAATACTCCGAAGATGGCGGGAACTGTCAACTGGGGTACAGCAACAGTGATTGGAATGTTTGCTGGCATGTTATACGGGGGGAGCAAAGAGGCATCTGCTTCTGTTGTAAGTATGCATTCTTAAAATATCCTCCAACTTGTGAGATTTTTCTGAGTTAAATTAGCATGAAGGCAAGAGGAGGAAGACAAAAACTGTGGGGGAAACGATTGCACGTGGACATTGAAATTGTTAGGGTCCCCAGTCAGAGGATAAGAAAGTGCATAATTGCAAAGCAGAACTATTGGTTTGACTAATTTTAACAGAAATGCAGAATTGTGTATTGACATAGTATGACTCGCCCTTCTTTCTACCCACATAAACTTGCATATATGCAAAAGGTAAAAACAAAGTTGGACATATTTAATTAGTTATGCCAGTGGCAGGTCCATATTATATTACTGTGGCAAACCAAAGTGGTGTTTTCAACTTGTATAAATGTGGTGGAGTTGGTGCCAACTCTTAAGATCTAACTTGATCCTGCTCTAGGGAACATGAAAAGTAGACACCAAATATATTTCAATAAATTTGTTTATCTGATGATCTATGTATGTGAAGGGATTATTGATGGGCTCGATGATGATCATGAGAACTTTGTCATGTATTGCCAGAGTAAGGATGCAGAAGTAATGTTGAAGCTTGGCAGCACACAGGACAAACGTGAGCAGCATCGACTAATGAGAGATGCAATGGAAAAAAGATTTATCCGAGTCACTCGGGGCTCAATAGTTGGTGGAGTGCGCCTTGGAATGTTTACTGCTGCATTTTGCTGTTTGCAGAATCTGCTTGCTGAAACACGAGGGGTGCATGATGTTTATAATGTGGTTGGAGCTGGTTCTGCTACTGCTGCAACATTTGGTCTAATTTGTAAGAAGTTGATTTTCAAGCATCATGTTTTTTTGGGAAATGCTCATTTCTCTCTTCCAACCTTTGTTTCACTTTGGCTTTATTAGTGCCAGGGTCATTCCGTTGGCGTGCAAGGAATGTGTTATTGGGCTCGGTTTTGGGTGCAGCATTTTGCTTCCCTCTTGGTAATAGATTCGCACCTGTACATGTATTACTATAGTTACCTAGTGGTTAATGTGTTGTAACACAATGAGTTTGCATTACTTCTTTTTTAGAAAATTGTTGACCTTTAAGGATTTTCTGACAAGCGTCAAACCCCATTGACGATTTACAGGTGCTGCTATTAACCCATGAAAACTTTCATCTGAAATTATCCTGTTATTTTTTCAATGATCCTTCCATTATATTTTTCTTGGTTCCAGGAAGTATTAATACTATGTTTTACCCTACAATGTTTGAGAATAGCAGAAAAAGTTGAGTACTAGCTGATGTAATTAAACATGACAAGATTCCTACTGTGATGATGGACATTACCCATTACCTCTAGGCTTGCTGACTGCTGTAACATGCCCCATTTGCCTATTTCTTTTTTCGGAAAGTAGTTGAGAAGTTCATTCCCATATACCTATATCACTGTGAAGTGTGAAATAGATTTTTGTACGATTGTGTGAAAGCTTTAATTTTTTCTGCTGTTCTTTAAAGTAAGCTTTCATTCTTCACAAGTGCATGGCCATATTTTCTGGTTTGTTAGAGAGCTCTCTTTGCTTCTCATAATTTACGCAAGCAATTTTTAACAGGTTGGCTTCAGTTGAAGCTTGTAGAGAAAGCAAATGAAGGGAGGTTGGCTGCTGCTTCCGACACAAACGGAAGTAAAGAAGCAGAGAGTGGGGTTGGTGCTGCAATTGAGAGGCTAGAAGGGCACTTGAACAAATAGAGGAGTGTTATCTTATTTGCTAGGGCCAAAACTTCACTTGTTCTCTGGCCATTGTAATATGGGAAAAGGGAGCCAGAGAAGACAATTCGGCCATCTTCAACACCTGTTGCATTTCTTTCTTCTTGGTGTAATTGTTGAGGTATAGAAATGCCTCTCTCTGTGGGAGAAAAAGAGTTAAAAGAGAAAATCTTTTTGAGGGCTAATTTGTCTAGCACTTTTTAAGATCCAAGAAACATATTGATGATTTCATGGGGGTACGTGGTCTTTCTTTTTCTTTTCTTTTTTTTTTTTTGGAAATTATTAATTGCAGCCTCAGTTTTTTATGTATATATATATATATTTTTTTGCAACTGAAGCTTCCTGGGGATAATGTGACGTTGAAGTGCGACTTTTTTTTATNTGTTTTAGAAAATTGTTGACCTTTAAGGATTTTCTGACAAGCATCAAACCCCATTGACGATTTACAGGTGCTGCTATTATTAACCCATGAAAACTTTCATCTGAAATTATCCTGTTATTTTTTCAATGATCCTNTTTTTTAGAAAATTGTTGACCTTTAAGGATTTTCTGACAAGCGTCAAACCCCATTGACGATTTACAGGTGCTGCTATTAACCCATGAAAACTTTCATCTGAAATTATCCTGTTATTTTTTCAATGATCCTTCCATTATATTTTTCTTGGTTCCAGGAAGTATTAATACTATGTTTTACCCTACAATGTTTGAGAATAGCAGAAAAAGTTGAGTACTAGCTGATGTAATTAAACATGACAAGATTCCTACTGTGATGATGGACATTACCCATTACCTCTAGGCTTGCTGACTGCTGTAACATGCCCCATTTGCCTATTTCTTTTTTCGGAAAGTAGTTGAGAAGTTCATTCCCATATACCTATATCACTGTGAAGTGTGAAATAGATTTTTGTACGATTGTATGAAAGCTTTAATTTTTTCTGCTGTTCTTTAAAGTAAGCTTTCATTCTTCACAAGTGCATGGCCATATTTTCTGGTTTGTTAGAGAGCTCTCTTTGCTTCTCATAATTTACGCAAGCAATTTTTAACAGGTTGGCTTCAGTTGAAGCTTGTAGAGAAAGCAAATGAAGGGAGGTTGGCTGCTGCTTCCGACACAAACGGAAGTAAAGAAGCAGAGAGTGGGGTTGGTGCTGCAATTGAGAGGCTAGAAGGGCACTTGAACAAATAGAGGAGTGTTATCTTATTTGCTAGGGCCAAAACTTCACTTGTTCTCTGGCCATTGTAATATGGGAAAAGGGAGCCAGAGAAGACAATTCGGCCATCTTCAACACCTGTTGCATTTCTTTCTTCTTGGTGTAATTGTTGAGGTATAGAAATGCCTCTCTCTCTGGGAGAAAAAGAGTTAAAAGAGAAAATCTTTTTGAGGGCTAATTTGACTAGCACTTTTTAAGATCCAAGAAACATATTGATGATTTCATGGGGATACGTGGTCTTTCTTTTTCTTTTCTTTTTTTTTTTTTGGAAATTATTAATTGCAGCCTCAGTTTTTTATGTATATATATATATATTTTTTTGCAACTGAAGCTTCCTGGGGATAATGTGACGTTGAAGTGCGACTTTTTTTGATCAGTTGTGACTTAATCGACTCGATGAACCACACTGCTACACTTTCCAAATTACATCTGAAATATCCCCAGAGGATGTATACCCCTACCCCCTCCCCTCCCCCGGCCGGGCGCGGGCGGCGCGGCCAAAATGCCTTGGACATTGTTATGATAACATGAAAGTTTATTCCAGTGTAAAAAAATTCACTTTAAGACATAGAAATACTTTTATTGTAAATAAGTTTTTGAAAAAAAGATTTTAGACAAAAACTCTATATTTATATATATGAGTTATAATAAAACAAAAACTTAAAATTTTAGAAAATTAAAACTCATCATAATAAATACTCTCCATTTTTTTAGAGATATGTTTTAAAGTTTTTACGAAATTTTTGAAATTTGACAATTAAAATTAAGGAAGTTTAATTATCTTATCTTAGATCCTAGTTTCTATTACTCCTACATTATTTTATATTAATACACTTTAATTTTATAAACACTTTAAAATGTATCAAAATAGTATAGGAGTAATAGAAATTAGGTTTTATAGTATGATTTCGTAATATTATATATATATGCTAGCAATATCTTGTGACTAAAGTCACTATACACTGAATTATAACACCGTGCATGCATTAGAATGTGTGTGTATATGCAGCTGTGTGTTATCGAATTATCGAAGGGTGTGTTAGGTTTTTAAAATTTGGGAGAAAAAAGTGTGTTGGATGTATGATTTATTATATATATACGTGATCAAATTAAATCTAAAATCAAAACTTTTTAATTTTAGTACTTTCAAATATAAGATAATTAATTTTTCTCAATTTTAGTTGTCAAATTTCAAAATTTTACAAAAACTTTGAAATATATCCCTAAAAAATGGAAAAAATTTATTATAAATTTTGATTTTTTAAAAATTTTATATTTTTGTTTTATTAGAACTCTTATATATGACGACAAATATGTTAAAAGAAAATCACAAAAAATTAAATTGTATACTTGAACACAATTAAGTTTTAAAAAAAAAAAATTTAAAGACGTAACATTAAGATCTGTATACTTTTTAACAATTAAATTTAATTTTATATACTTCCTTACAATTTTCCCTTAAAAAAGCAGGTTAGCCCAGTCGGAAAAAAAAAAAAAACCTGGCCCACTAGGCCACCAAAAATTGGTTACAATCAGAAATTACGTATTTATACTTGTATTTTCTCTCTTAAGCCAACAAACTGATGAAGCCATGGATGGGTTGATGATGCAAGGAGATGAGGATAGAGATCTTAAACCCGATGGGTATTTGAACAGGAACGGGGGGCTAAGATTAAAATTTTGTTTTAAAACGTTCGAAACGTTTTTATTGCAAAGGAGATCGAAACGAATTAATAATAAAATCGAAAGTTTAATACTTCGAAGCGTTTTGTAATGTTTCAATACATTTGTAAAATCGTTTTGANTGAAATTTGGGAGAAAAAAGTGTGTTGGATGTATGATTTATTATATATATATACGTGATCAAATTAAATCTAAAATCAAAACTTTTTAATTTTAGTACTTTCAAATATAAGATAATTAATTTTTCTCAATTTTAGTTGTCAAATTTCAAAATTTTACAAAAACTTTGAAATATATCCCTTAAAAATGGAAAAAATTTATTATAAATTTTGATTTTTTAAAAATTTTATATTTTTGTTTTATTAGAACTCTTATATATGACGACAAATATGTTAAAAGAAAATCACAAAAAATTAAATTGTATACTTGAACACAATTAAGTTTTAAAAAAAAAAAATTTAAAGACGTAACATTAAGATCTGTATACTTTTTAACAATTAAATTTAATTTTATATACTTCCTTACAATTTTCCCTTAAAAAAGCAGGTTAGCCCAGTCGGAAAAAAAAAAACCTGGCCCACTAGGCCACCAAAAATTGGTTACAATCAGAAATTACGTATTTATACTTGTATTTTCTCTCTTAAGCCAACAAACTGATGAAGCCATGGATGGGTTGATGATGCAAGGAGATGAGGATAGAGATCTTAAACCCGATGGGTATTTGAACAGGAACGGGGGGCTAAGATTAAAATTTTGTTTTAAAACGTTCGAAACGTTTTTATTGCAAAGGAGATCGAAACGAATTAATAATAAAATCGAAAGTTTAATACTTCGAAGCGTTTTGTAATGTTTCAATACATTTGTAAAATTGTTTTGAAATGTTTTAAGCATTAATAATGTGATAGTTATATTTTAATAAATATAATTTTTTTTTTTGAATTATGTTTTTTAAAATTAAAGTAAATAAGGAAAAAATAAGATANTCGTTTTGAAATGTTTTAAGCATTAATAATGTGATAGTTATATTTTAATAAATATAATTTTTTTTTTGAATTATGTTTTTTAAAATTAAAGTAAATAAGGAAAAAATAAGATAAAGGTGGGGAGAGAGAAGAGATATGTAAGTTTAAATTAATAGAGTTATTTGATATTAGAAAGTATTTTCGTTGAGTTGTTTGACACCGGAGTCATGCAGATAAAATGAATTTTTTTGAATGAAAAAATAAATTAATTTTAATTATTATTATGTTTTTTTAAGTTGATAATTCAATTTTATAGCTGTGATATTAATTTGATGGGAATACAAATATTATTATTATTTTTGTCAAAATCAGAAAATACGATTCTACTAGCAGACAGCATACGACGATGACATCATTTTTTTGGACCCAAAAAACTTGAAGAACTTCGAGACTCGAGAGAACACTTGCCTTGTTTCCCCCCGCCCCCCCCTCTTCTCTCTCTCTCTCTGTTTCTGTCTCACATGCAAACGCAACTCGATGTGGAGGTCAGCTCTTAACTTTTCTGTCTTTATCGTGTTCCAATTCAATGTTCTTAGTTTTGTTTTCGTATGATTAGACTTATTTCACATGCTAATTCGTGTTAAAAAGCTGTGAAACCACACCAAAACCCCTTAAAAAATCCTCATCGGTTCCGCTCAAAATCGCTTCTTGAATTGGTAAATTCTTTTTCTGCAATCTGATCTTGTTATTTATCAATTGTTGTATGATCTATCCGTTGAATAACAATGGTTTAAGTGAAGAATCTGTTTATTCTGGAGTTAATTATATTTGGTTATTGGAATTTGTTGAATTTTGAGACGTTGGATTGGATAATTTCTTAACTATCAAATGATAAAAGGAGAGGGGAATCGTGAGATATCTTCTGAAGTTGCCTCACCGGATAAATCCGATGAGTTTCTGCCTTGGCAAGGTGACAAATCCTACAGTGGCGATGGGTCACCAGTCTCATCACAGTACTCGTCCTGTGGAGAATCGGAGTTCGATAGATATTGTAGTGCAACATCAGTTATGGGGACACCGAGTTTGTGTAGTTCAGTAGGAACATTTCAGGAGTGTGTGGATGCCGAGCTTGGGTCTTTGAAGAATTTCAGGCTTGAAAATGATGGTGGTTCAGAGAATTTCACTTTGGGAGAGAGATTCAATAGACACTCTGAATATAAGAAAGTATTGGGTTTTTCTCAGAGAATTGAATGTTGTGATGGAAAGAGCGATGCAGAGCTGAAAAATAAAGTAGAATCGGGACAAAGAGTGGTGGAAATGAAGAATGGGCTAAATTCGTATGATAATGTGGAAAATTCTTCATCACATGAGTTCGATAGTCATAGTACTGATAATGGTAATTTGATGCCTTCCAAGGCTGAGACTCTATCGGATTTAAATATTGAATTGGACGAGGAGCTTTTTGGTGAAGATGATTTTGGCAGTGTTGTGCCGTGGAGAGACGGCAAGGAGTTGGGGTCTGCACGAAGTTCTCAAAATGATCATTATGGAGATGATGCAAGTGCAGAAGCCATCGAGGGAATTATGTTGAATTTAGGACCTGCTGACAGCTTCCATTCCTCTGCAATTGCCAAAGAAAGTTCTCAGTCTTACGTAGGTATTGAACAAGTGGACAGTTGCATAGAGGGGTCAAAAATGCAGTCTGATTTGGGATCTTATAGAAATGAGGCTGGAAGAGGTTCGGATGAAGGTGAAAGTTCATCCAGATATGAACATTCAGATGATGAAGATTCGATGTTTGGCACAGATGATGAAAAGAAAATTGATTTGTATTACGGGAAAAACATAACACGCCATCAGGAATCAAATCGTAAGAATGAAAATTTATTGCTTATGACTTCATCCATAGCATTTGGTTCAGATGATTGGGATGATTTTATGCAAGAAACAGAGGAAAATGCTATGGCTTCTATGGTTCCTGAGGGACATAAGGGACAGAAACCACATAGTGCTGCAATTGAATTAGATAATATGAATCCCACTACGACAGATACTGTTGAGTTTTCAAGTATTGCTTTGCCAGAGCAACAAGCAGGTATGAGAGAAATTTCTGTGGCTCAAGTCCAAGGTAATGATAATATAGTGGAATTTGGTGACGTAGAGCAAGGAGAAGTTGCAAAAGATGAGCTTGTTGAGAGCAATCTGCTAGGTGTTACTAAATCAGCAGATTACCTTGAAACCTCTTCAGTTAGCGTCAATACATTGGAAAAAGAGCACGATCTACTAACAGAAGCCCCATTGAAAGAGGAATTGAACATCAGGGATGGTGGATTGAAAAGCGACCATCAATATACAAGCACTGAGGATGTGACTGGCATGGATGATGGTCATGTTTCAGAAAGTATTGAGCTGGAGAAAATAAAACTGCAGTTGGACCCACTTTCTGATGTTACATTCTACCAACATTGTTCAGCTTCACAGGTTGACGCTGAAGATAGACGAGGCGAATCCTTTGGAGAAAATAAATCTAGTTCAACACCGCCACTTATTGAAAACAGTGAAAAGATAGTAATGGAGGATTCTCATGTTTCACCCAAGCTATCTGAAGACCATCTTACATCAGTCAAGGTCAGTTTGTAGTTTCAAAGTTTATAACGATAACAATTTTCTATTTATTTTCATTTTCTGCAGTATCAATTTGTCAGCGTGTTAGCTGATGGTGCTACTGTTAATTTTTGCTGGGGTCAACCTAATGAACAAATAAATATTCATACATATACGTGGATGAAGTGAAGCTATTGGTTCAATGCTTGAAGTTCAACCAATAATCTTTAGTTCATTGGTTTGCGCAAATACTATTAAGCCAGTCTATCCCCCCTAGATCCACATTTAATGGGGACTAAACTGAGCATTATTATTTTACATGGAGGCATATCTACCCCATGGACTGAATTTCAAGAGGGCAGTTCGAAATAAAATGATATTTTTTTTTGCATTCATTTAAGTAAATAAACACGTGTATATTTAATTATTAGTAACAGATAAAAACACTTGAACCACACCACTCAATGTTTTGGATGTATGTCCGGCCTTTATATATGTCGAGGATTTCTTTGTAGTCTTTTTCTCTTGCCTATTGGACTTCAATCTTGCAAGTATATGTTATTTATGATAACTGATATGAAATTGCTACTCAAGCACCATATTGTCCTAGGAGGAAGCTTTCTTGGCAATACCTTTTAATCTATTTGCTGCATAAAGTCTACGCGCAAAGCCTTACAATGTGGTGTCTGCACTGTGATGCTCCCAGGCAGTCACACACATGCATTCACATATACAATAGTGTATACTTGTCAGTTAATTTAGTATATCAACCATGCGAGATACTGGGCCCATATTTGTCAGCCACAAACATCATAGATAACGAGTTGTAGTTTTAGGGGGGGCTGTTGTCATCTCTTGCTAGAAACGTGTGGGAACTACTTTTTTTTTTTTTAAAATGTTTGGCTGTTCGAAGGGAGCAAATTACACTTGTTTAAAATGTATGCTAAAAAGTATATCTGGCAAAAACTGGTAGAGAAGCAAAATGTGGAGAAAACTAAGAAATGGAGTAAATGAAGAGGGGTATGTTGTTCATACAAAGCAACTAAAGTATAGGAAAAATATACATTAGAGGACTCTCTATTTTCTTTTCTTTTTGGTTCATGTACATGGTTGCATCTAATGGAATAGATACTTGTATGACGACCTATTTTAGGTATTACTTCAAATATATTCATGCAAAGGCATAGGAAAAACATGTGAAAAAGTGAATGTTAGATATCTGGTTTACAAACTCTAATCCCAGCATCTGGTCCATCTATCATGGGAAAGGTAGGAATAGTTGAGCATTCATGGTACTTCCATGTTTTGTTGGTAACATTTGGTGCAGTAATGCTTGCCATTGGGTAACATTATCTGTTTTCTTGGCTCTTCATTTTCCTTGCCTTGTGTTTTTTTTCCCTCTATTTTTTTTTTGTTTTGGACTCTTTCTTTTAAGGTGTTACGTTTTTGGGGTGGGGGTAAGAATTTTCATCTCTTCGGTACTACTAGGTTTGTAGGTAATCGCCACCATCAATTTCACTTGCCTGCTCTATTTTCACCAAAAAAGATTTCTTTGTGAATTGACTATTTTGAGTCACAGATGGATGCCCCTTGCACTAATATTTTATGTTTTCCTACCTTGCAGACTGAGAATCTTGAGTCAAATGAATTCTTCAATGATTTTGTGCACGAAATGGAAGAAATATTACTTGATTCTGGCAACACTCCTTGGGCTAGGTTCACCCAGGGTAGTAGGACGTATCCACCCCTGATGACCCGGCCATTACGAGATGGTGGATCTACTGCTTCCACTTCTGCTATGGATGATACTCACTTGGTGATCCACCACCCTGTGAGAATTGATGGGGTCGAAGTAGTAGGTGCAAGGCAGAAGAGGGGAGATGTTTCACTTAGCGAAAGACTGGTCGGAGTGAAGGAATACACTGTTTATAGGATAAGAGTGTGGAGCGGTGAGAATCATTGGGAGGTTGAACGGAGATACCGTGATTTCTGTACTCTCTATCGTTGTTTGAACAAATTATTTGTCGATCAAGGCTGCACTCTACCTTCTCCATGGTCTTTCGTTGAACGAGAATCAAGAAAGATTTTTGGGAATGCTTCTCCTGATGTAATTGCAGAGAGAAGTGTTCTTATTCAGGAGTGTTTAGGATCCATTTTGCACTCTAAGTTTTCGTCCAGTCTCCCCAATGCTCTCATTTGGTTCTTGTCCCCACCAAAAGAGGTTCCTAGTTCTCCTACATCTGATACACACATGCCTCAGTCACCATATTCTACCAGAAGCACAGATACTGAGGATGTTTCAACCTTGGGGAAGACTATATCCCTTGTCATTCAAACACGGCCCTACAAATCTACAAAACAGATGCTAGACGCCCAGCATTATACTTGTGCGGGATGCCACAAACATTTTGATGATGCAAAATCTCTGATGCGGGAAGTTGTATGGACTCTTGGGTGGGGCAAGCCTCGTCTTTGTGAATACAGTGGTCAGCTGTTCTGTCCTTCATGTCATTCAAATGAAACTGCTGTCTTGCCAGCCAGAGTTCTCCATTATTGGGATTTTACTCAATATCCTGTATCTCAATTGGCTAAATCATATCTTGATTCAATTCATGACCAGGTAATGACTCCACCATATTTTGGTGGGTGGGGATTTTTTTTTTTTTGAATTTAATCCTTCAGATTAAGAATGTCACGGAAGTTAGCGCAGTTGAATAAAGACATGGAATCTGGACTGCTATGTTTAGATGACATATAAAAAAAATCATTATGTTTTAATACTCCATAACTTTGGAGTATATTTTTAGATGTAAGTCCTGCTTAACTTTCTGAGATTAATTTTCTTTAATGGGTTATTCTTCTTGCAGCCTATGCTTTGTGTCAGTGCTGTTAATCCTTTTTTATTCTCAAGAGTCCCAGCGCTGCAACAGGTTATGAATTTAAGAAAACAAATAGGAGCTATGCTGGCGTATGCTCGTTGCCCATTTCGTAGGTCCATCTACAAAGGCCTTGGATCGCGGAGATATCTTCTTAAAAGCAATGATTTTTTTGCACTCAGAGACCTCGTTGATCTGTCCAAAGGCATGTTTGCAGGTTTGCTTTCTATAACAAGTTCATTATTGTTTTTGACTTTTTGGAAAGGCAGAATATTATGGGGCATGCTGTCATTTAAAAATGCATTCAATTCTAGAATGGTTTCACATATATAACTTCTAAATTTTGTTTTTTTTAAAGCTTTCCACCTAGAGCGAATTGTGTAATTAATCGACAGTAATAATTTATAGACCACAGAACGAAAGCACCAGTGATTTATTTTCAGGTGTGATATGACTCAACCCAACTCAATAAAACCTTAGGCTCTTAGTACTTGGAGTTGTTACATGACTTTTTCTTCACCTTTTAGCTCTACCTAGGGCCATATCCTCATCTGGTTCACAGGGTATCATGTAGGCAATTTTCCTTCGATGATCGTCGATGAGGTTTTTATTTAACAGAGGATGTTAGTCAAACAACATGCTGAAAAACTAAGTGTGGTGGAAATGAGGATGTGAAGATGAATATGTGGTAATTTTAAAAAAGAAAGAACTAAGAATATGTAAGTGAAACATCATAAGTAGCACTTATAAAGGGTAAATTAAGAGAGAATGTAATACTTATCAATAGTAATTCGAAAAGTAGATGTAGACCGAAGTTAACTTTAAAAGAGATAGAAAAAAAGAATATGATAATCTGTGATGTTAACTAATGTATGGCCGTTGATATAACACATTGGGGAACAAGATTTGTATAGCCGACCCAAAAATAATTAGGATAAAGTTTAGTTGAGATAAGTTGAGTATGATCATCAATGAGGTTTTTATGAGTGCTGTTTTCACTTTTCTTGTCACACCATCAATTTCTTCATTCAGGGACATGGCTTGTGTTGTAAAGCATGACTAGTTTGGTGGTTGTTTTCTTGAAACTCATTGCTGGGCGTGTTCTTGACGTTTTCCATTTCTCTTTCAGCCCTGCCGCAGATGATGGAGAATGTCTCGAGGAAAATCCTGGAACATATAACCGAGCAGTGCCTCATATGCTGTGATTTGGGTATCCCTTGTAATGCTCGACAAGAGTGTGAAGACCTAACTTCTCTCATTTTCCCTTTTCAGGTGCGCATCTGCTTATGTTGTGCATTGCTGAACTTATATTTTGCCCATGTTGGCATGCACCACAAACACTTTATCACTTTCCATTATATTCTCTATGAACAAATCCTGGTAACTGTTCTTTTGCAATCTGAATGAGTGAATGTATGAAAGTGCTAAATCTGATACCATGGCCATAATATATCTTTTGCTGGGTCTGTTCTTGAAATGCCCAAGCTAACAAGCATGTGTGCCTGAAAAGACTCAGAGGCTCCCTAGCATTATTAACAACATCCGATAATGGTGCCTTCAGCGAACCCATTTCCTTTTTCTTGCTTGCCTAGGAGACCTGAAATGTGCAAAGAGTGTTGCTGAATAACTATGATTGCCATGCCCTAGACAGAAAGGAAAATGAACAATTATAATCGATGATTAACACTATTAACTGACAGGAAGGAGAGGTTGAAAGGTGCAAATCTTGTGAATCAGTTTTCCACAAGCCATGTTTCAAAAAGATATCAAGTTGTCCTTGTGGTGCATATCTTAAGTTGGATGAGGCCAATGGAGGCACAATTAAGAGAAGCCTTGGCGTCGGTACTGAGGTGGGTAGCACAGTGGACTCATTGGGCAGGAAGGGGGATTCTAGGTCACCATTGGGATTCCTCTCCGGAATGTTCTCTAAGGCGAGGCAAGCGAAGCCTAGAGACAGCAATACTGTTATCTTAGTGGGTTCTTTACCAAACATCTCCCTCTGAATACTCACATTGTTACTGTTGCTTGTATTTTTGGCTTTGAAACCTGAAAATTGTGGGAGCTTATTTGTTCTTCCTTGAGGGTAGTCGACAGAATAATCAAATGCATTCCCCTTTGTTATAACCCAGGCTCNACCTCCCTCTGAATACTCACATTGTTACTGTTGCTTGTATTTTTGGCTTTGAAACCTGAAAATTGTGGGAGCTTATTTGTTCTTCTTTGAGGGTAGTCGACAGAATAATCAAATGCATTCCCCTTTGTTATAACCCAGGCTCTGAAGGGCTACGAGGCTTTTTCTTTTCGTATTCTTTGTACCATAAGTTCATGTAAAGAGATTTAATTTGTTTTCTTCCCATTTGCACTGCATGTTCTCTCTTTATTTTTCCCTTTTGTTAGAGGAGGAACACAGTTGCAGTAACCATTATTTAATGCAAATGAACATAATGGCCCACCAGTCCACCACCATCACAGGAATATCAAAGTCCCGAGCGCCGTAGTAAGACACATGTTCGAAAAAAGTGGAATCGTGGTGTAGAAAGATAATTAACCCTTATGTGCAGAAATAATGTTAAGGAGCCTAGCAATTTCAGTCTTCAATGCCTAATGGAACTCAAATATGGTATGCAAATCACTTGTTAGAGACCAAGAAAAGCCTTAGACGCTAGTCCAATTACTTACGTTCTCTTTTAAAGGATTTTGTTATATATTCTTTTCGGATTTTTCTTCACTCCTATTGTTATAAAGTTACAATAGTTGATTTTTTTTTGTAATAATATCGACCAATTTATATGGAAAAAAAATGGTCTTTCAATAAAAATCAAATTACAAAGAGGTTATTTTATTCATTTAAACGGAGTAGATAATGCGACAATATTTTCTCGTTTTGGGAAAAAGGTGTGGGGGGAAGGTGTCGGGGGGGGGGGGATGTTTGTTGGTCTTTCTCCAATGTAGAAGAATAAAAAAGTGAACAGATGTCATTACCCAATATTTTCGCGTTTTGGGTGGGGGTTGGGGGTGTGTTTGGTTGCTCTTACTCCAATGTAGATGCATAAAAAAGTGAAAAGATGTCATTATCCTGTACCAAATTTGACTAGTTCCTTTTTGACAATATCATGACTCAGTAGAATTAAATATAAGCTGGTCCATGAAGATCACTTTATTAATTTGCATTGTCGGCAAGGTTTTTTTAATACTATAATTGGAAACAGGTGGTTTTGTTGGTTAGAATGCACTTTCTTCTAATTGGCAAGAAAAGCCATTTTTGGCTCTCAAAGAGAGCATCAATGGCAACCCAATGTGCTTCCAGATGACAAACTGCCATTGTTCAACGAAGTTCAAATTCAAGCTATTGAACCATATGAGTTGGTTAAGTAGGCGAACAAGAACAAAAGAAGATGTGTAAGTCTATACTTTTTTGAGTTCGAGTTTTCTCGAAAGTGTAAATAACAGTCTAATTAATGCGTGTGATTCATAGGTTATTTGTCCAAGATTTATTTTATAATAATGAGGTCTAAGAATTGTAAGAGATAGACCACATGGTAATAGGGACGAGATATAAACTCAAACGTCATGAGTTTGAATTTTGACAATTTTTTAAAGTTAGACCATGAGAAAGTTATTTCTCATGAATAAATACTCTAGTCCCGATGTGAATGACATATCTTTGACTGGACGAGGAGAGAATTAATATACATGGGGGTAAGTTAGTTTAACTACCCTTGACCGTTGAATCAAAAAAAAAAAAAAAATTAGTTCGAAAGGCACGTGCTTTGGACAATTCTCCGTATCGAAGAAAAAAATAAAACTCAGGCTTTTAGCATTATAACCAAAATGCCTTCCCAGGTACACTGGTTAATCATCAGTCCACAGTACTAGAAGTGGAATGATAAACAAAGGCTTATGCCAAGTTAAGCCCCCCAGTGCCCAACAACAAGAAACAGAAACTTGCAAACAGTTTACATTTTTGCCCCACAAATTTGCAAAATAATGCTCCATGTTCAGGCAGCTGGATTTTCAAGTCACAAATAGAAATTCTGCAGTAATGTCTTAGCTAAGATGTTCCTGTATGACGATATTTTAGGAAAACTTGGCGACCATGGATGAGGTATAATCAAGAAATAAGCACAAGAATGCATACAAAATTATACAAAAATGATATTAGACAGTGAAGATATGGAATTTCTCTTTGAATACTTTTGATATCTGTTTGTAATTACAACTATGCTCCACATAAGGGACAGGTTTACATAAACAAATTAAAAAAGTGTTGCTTTCTGTTGTTCAATCAGTTGTATGTCATTCATATCAAAACTTACTACATTTTCTCTGTGAAAACATGTCGAAACGTGGACAATGTTTGTTCTTGGCTATCTCTGGACATCTTTCAGCATATAGTATACCATGGCTCTGCCTCTTCGAGGAAGAAAACTCAGTTTTTTTTATTAGCACCAGAGAGATAGCTTCAGAATAGTTTTCAGCATGAGTTACCGATGACACTGATAGGATTCAGGAAACCATTTTAACAACAGAAAGTGTTTCAACTTCATTACTAGACCAAAAACGCCATAGCACGGTATGTGCATAACAGCCACTGAGGAGTACCTGTGATTTTCAATTGCAGCAGAGAAAATGGTCAGCCTTTTAACCTGGATAACATTAAGATACATGCTATGCTTGACTGAAATTAGGAGAGAGAGAATGGTTTTGAATTAGATTTGTTAAGCACTACAAAAAAAAAAAAAACTGTAATTTTATGACATTAGTGGCATCTGGACATCAGGGGTGCTGGAAAAATTTGGCAGCAAATTTATAGATGTAGGATTTGTTTTCTAACACCCGAAAAGTGATGCTAAAATTACATACCATAGTGGAGCAAATGGAGAGGACAGATCAAGAAATGGATAAGGCCACCTGGTTCAAAGAACAGCAATGTTACAAAAGAACGACGTAGATATGTTTCTAGTTAACAACATGAAGGATACAATAATACTTTACCAAAGTGAGACACACGCATGGACAATCCATTGAAAAATGACGTAAACAGCTGTCCATAGAATGAAGTATGCCATTCGGAACCAAGGGAACCTCTGAAATAAAGGTATCACGATTCAAAATTAATTCATTAAAAAGAAAGAAGCTCGAAAAACAGATATGGGTTGAAAGTTGAAATCAATAATAAAGTGCTGCAAACTTACCAAGCAATTCATTGCAGTGTCACCAAGCAGAAAAACAGCATTGATTGTGTGCATGTTTATAATCAACTGCAATGTAAATGATTTCACACATCATTCAGGAATACAAAGAAGAGAGCTTCTTAAACATTGGAAATAAAAAGAACTATCAGGTTTTGTGATTGAAGCAATCAAGAAATGAAGCAGAAGTTTGTCTTTGGTAAGCAGCCTATGATGTGGCACAGAAGTAAGGTTGCAGACACAGACAATGTATAGAAAACTCATATTGAAACTGCCAAGTAAAATTTGATATTAGACAGTGAGATACTCCCTAGACTCTTTTTCATTATTTGGTTTCTCAATATATTTTTTCCAACAGTTTAAGAATATACTGATACACGAATTGGGCTACCTAGACTTTTCTTTTCTTTTTTTGTTAAGAATTTTCAATACTTTGAAAATGTGTTTTATTGTAGCCAAGGATTCAATTAATTATCAATCTACCAGACTGTAGGTCAGTACAAAATAGGTTCTGGATTTTCTAATTTGTACATGTATAAGCCTCTGCACTAATGTTGTATTCTCAAGCAGCTGAGTGACCCAAACTTTGATTGAAGAGAGGATCGTTCCACGTGATCATATCCACTTATTACGACTGAGCTTAATGCTACTTGGATTATAGGCAATATGCAAGCCTCCTTCACATGATGAAAGAATAAAATTTTGTATATATCATCACACCTACTTGTAGAAAAACTTAACTTGCCGCAACATAGGATACTTACAAAATTCAGGTTGTAATCTTTAATTTCAAGGAAGGGTACGATTATGAACCAAAAGACACAGTCTGTCAGCATCACAGCACCTGCATTTATCTGTTCACAGAAAATATGGAAAAAAATCAAGCTAGTGCACTGAAGTAAATGGAGATATTGCAGTCTTTTATTTGACAAATGATTTCTCTTTCTTTGAGGCAAAACTTGGCTCCACTCTGTTTAGTTCCTCTAGGATGCCTCATCGAAAGGCGTGTTTTCAATGGATCAAACAGTAAGGAACTAAATGGAGAGGAGCTAAATTCTCTCAACAGTATTTAATCCTGGGAGTAGATCAATTTTTCTAGCTGCATTAGAACAAAAATCATTTTCAGGCTGCATCAGGGGTAGAGAATTATGTGGGCGTAAGCAAATGCTCATACAATTGCAAGAGAAACAGAAACTTCCATAATTGTGTCATTGCTTTAGGAGATTAACCTGGAAAATTATTTGAAAAGCGTAACCCCAGAAGCCTGCAATTTGGCGAACAGGGCGTTCCTCATTGGGGCCCAAGCTTTTCACAACGTTGGACATGTTAGAATTTTCTGCATCTCTAGGTGCCCCAGAAGTGCCTTGCTCAGCATCAAACTCCTCATGATCAATTCTAGCACCACCAACTTTATTGTGATATTGGTAACATCCATACATGGACAGCAAAGATCCGAGCTACAAATAGAAGTCAGGATCATAACCAAAAGAAGATATATAAAAGAACCTATCTATTCAAGCGTAGTAAGGTTACCGATGACATACCCCAAAATAGATGGTTATTAACACAAAAGTCCATCTGTCCACAACCCAATCACAAGTTAAAAACTAGAAATAAATAATGATCACGGAAAAATGATGACATCAAGCGTAGTATTATGATTAGAATTGTGCCATGTGAGATTGCATAGTTAAGCTTATTGAAGTCTACTTTGCCTTCCAAAAAGCTCTTTCAAGTCTAAATGCATATAGGAAAATCTACAACAGAAAAGGAAGGAAATCCCAATGTTGCAGGTAGAGATCGAAGCAAATTTATGTGAAAAATGCCCATGAGAATTATAAAATTGTCCTGGCAACCCATTCATGAGCAAAAGCTGCCACCTTTATAATATGAAAAATTACTTGTTGGTTTCATCACAATGATACTCAAACAAAATAAGCCTTTCAAAATAATTTTCTTTAACTCAAAGAATCCAGAAATGTGTGACGAAGAACAAAGTTCTGACAAAATATAAATTGTATATTAAAAAGGAGATAGTTTTATAAAACAAGATTCTCCATATCGTGTGAAAAAAGGATAAACTTACTGTGTATAGAAGTAAAAAATGCCACCTCCATCAACTGCAACATTCAGGGCCAGCATTAACAAAAGCACAATGAAAGCGACAACCCGGAATGCCAGCAGCCAAGCTGGATGTATTCCTCTCACAGAAGGCCTCCAAACTTCATCTTCATACAATAGTCCTGCTGGTTCCTGCCGAGTTTCTCTGCTTCCATGTTTCAATTTGCGCGGGCCTTCATATTTTGAGATGAGAATGGATGCAAGAAACAATGAAATTAAGACCCATATTGTGCAAATCAAGACCCTCCAGTTCATCCAGTAACTTGTGGTGGTTGTATCGGCAGTCATGACTGGCTGCCAAGAATTTTTCGGGGAACCTGTTAAGAAACCCATGTTGTAACTTCAACTTCTCTGATTGTTCCCAATCAATCAATCTGGAGGTTTAATGTTTGATTTAATTTCCAAATGGGAAAATCAATATGGGATCCTAAACATTTATAAAGGGAAGATTTTCGAAACACGAAAAACTCTTACTTAGGAAGAAACTGAATGAGATGAAGATTAATTGAATCAATTGTCTTAAAAAAATGATAAGAAAATCTTGCACTATTGTGATTCTGAAAACAACATAAAACCCAGCAATTGTAATTAAGGAATCTGCTGTACTACAACAAATGAAATCCTGGAAAATCTGAAACCTTAAGATGAGAAAAGCAAGAGGAAGAATCAATACTAGAAATCAGAGCTTCAAATATGTTCTGTAGCATGCCCATTATGTACTGGAAAAGGCTGAAAAGCTAAAATTCTGAAACCAAGAACCAAACCCTACATAAACCCATGATTGAGTTTTCATCAAAACCCAAAATTCATGAAAAACTAAACAAGATTGTCCAGTGACCAAAACCCAAAGCTAGAATCACCACTTCTGGGATGACTAAATGAGTATTTCCCAAACTGCAGCTAGTTAGTTATAGAACAATGGCCTCAAGACAACAACAAAAGAATGAATTTGATGCTCATTAATGGCAGAAAAGTGAGCAGAGATTCCAAGCTTTCAGAGAGTATTTGCAGTTTTGCACAGAAGAATATATATATATATATATATTTATATATATATAATAAACAATGTTAATTTGTGAATTGAAAAAGAAGGGAAGTTCTTAATTGTAAGCAAAGGAAAGGAGATATACTTACAGGGGAAAGCATGAGAGAAATGAAATGCGGTGTAAGAAGAGATGCTTTGCTTCGTTGCTTTGGAGAGAAAACTAATAAAAGACAAGAGAGATGGTAAAAGGGTAGTATGCTTTGGCTATAAGCTTCTCTCTTTTTCTTATCCCTACGGAATAATCTCTTGACATAGACCAGTCTATAATCTAATGTAACTATCTCTCTATCTATCTATATAGGGTCATTCAAAATAGAAAAATCCTTGGGACATGGAGGGTTTTCCCACCTTTTTTCTTACAGAACATCAGCCTTGTTTGAGTTTTTCTAGTTTTTGGTATTCCAGAGAGAGAGAGAGAGAGAGAGAGAGAGAGAGAGAAGGGGTGGGGACCCATAACTGTTTTCTGTGTGGATTTTGTGTTGGACTGTTGGAAGATGCTTTTTTGAACAGAAAAATGGCTTGCGTTTGTTGTGAGCTCCCCCCAACCCAAAGCCCAAGCAACTGCATGGAACTGATATGGTATACTCTGAAGTAGTGTAGATTGGTGTTATGATGATTTTGAGCAATGATCTAGGCCGTTGATCGATTGCCCATAATCTGAAAATTTTTGTTGCTTTTTCCTTTGTTGGGTACCGACATAAAAAATGGGACCCAGTCATATATATAGATTCATGTCGTGGATTTAGGCTACTAGGGCCCACATCTTTGACCTCTGTCAAGACCTCTCAAACAAGGCAAGGGCCTTTTCTTTTTCTTTCTATTTTTAACAGTTAAAAACCGACCTAACTACATATCTTCGGATATATATCAACAACCATTAATCATTTCGTGCCCAGAAAATATTCTATAATACTAAAAATTAAATATTAATTATGTGATATTATATTTTAAATAATATTTTTTTTTAATTTTATAATTTAAAATTAAAATAAATAAATAAAATAAGATAAAGATATGAGAGAAAGAACACTGAGATCGGTGTAGAATAATAGAGTTATTTGATAGCGCAATACTATTGGAGTTAATATATTGACCTAATTCATTATAATCTTTAGATTGACTGTGGGCTCCATCAAACATCAGAACTTGGTGTTGATCTAATAGTTCCATTGAACTCACATCATTATGTCAGCAAATTAGGTTAGATTTTTATATCTAAATAGAATTACTCTATTTGATATTAGGGAGTATGTTGGTTATGTTATCTGACATTGAGAACTGTGCAAAAAATATGATATTTTTTAGAGAAAAAATAAATTTGGAGATAAAGTTTGTCCCAATGGAATTGTTCATNTTTGTTCTTGGCTATCTCTGGACATCTTTCAGCATATAGTATACCATGGCTCTGCCTCTTCGAGGAAGAAAACTCAGTTTTTTTTATTAGCACCAGAGAGATAGCTTCAGAATAGTTTTCAGCATGAGTTACCGATGACACTGATAGGATTCAGGAAACCATTTTAACAACAGAAAGTGTTTCAACTTCATTACTAGACCAAAAACGCCATAGCACGGTATGTGCATAACAGCCACTGAGGAGTACCTGTGATTTTCAATTGCAGCAGAGAAAATGGTCAGCCTTTTAACCTGGATAACATTAAGATACATGCTATGCTTGACTGAAATTAGGAGAGAGAGAATGGTTTTGAATTAGATTTGTTAAGCACTACAAAAAAAAAAAAAACTGTAATTTTATGACATTAGTGGCATCTGGACATCAGGGGTGCTGGAAAAATTTGGCAGCAAATTTATAGATGTAGGATTTGTTTTCTAACACCCGAAAAGTGATGCTAAAATTACATACCATAGTGGAGCAAATGGAGAGGACAGATCAAGAAATGGATAAGGCCACCTGGTTCAAAGAACAGCAATGTTACAAAAGAACGACGTAGATATGTTTCTAGTTAACAACATGAAGGATACAATAATACTTTACCAAAGTGAGACACACGCATGGACAATCCATTGAAAAATGACGTAAACAGCTGTCCATAGAATGAAGTATGCCATTCGGAACCAAGGGAACCTCTGAAATAAAGGTATCACGATTCAAAATTAATTCATTAAAAAGAAAGAAGCTCGAAAAACAGATATGGGTTGAAAGTTGAAATCAATAATAAAGTGCTGCAAACTTACCAAGCAATTCATTGCAGTGTCACCAAGCAGAAAAACAGCATTGATTGTGTGCATGTTTATAATCAACTGCAATGTAAATGATTTCACACATCATTCAGGAATACAAAGAAGAGAGCTTCTTAAACATTGGAAATAAAAAGAACTATCAGGTTTTGTGATTGAAGCAATCAAGAAATGAAGCAGAAGTTTGTCTTTGGTAAGCAGCCTATGATGTGGCACAGAAGTAAGGTTGCAGACACAGACAATGTATAGAAAACTCATATTGAAACTGCCAAGTAAAATTTGATATTAGACAGTGAGATACTCCCTAGACTCTTTTTCATTATTTGGTTTCTCAATATATTTTTTCCAACAGTTTAAGAATATACTGATACACGAATTGGGCTACCTAGACTTTTCTTTTCTTTTTTTGTTAAGAATTTTCAATACTTTGAAAATGTGTTTTATTGTAGCCAAGGATTCAATTAATTATCAATCTACCAGACTGTAGGTCAGTACAAAATAGGTTCTGGATTTTCTAATTTGTACATGTATAAGCCTCTGCACTAATGTTGTATTCTCAAGCAGCTGAGTGACCCAAACTTTGATTGAAGAGAGGATCGTTCCACGTGATCATATCCACTTATTACGACTGAGCTTAATGCTACTTGGGTTATAGGCAATATGCAAGCCTCCTTCACATGATGAAAGAATAAAATTTTGTATATATCATCACACCTACTTGTAGAAAAACTTAACTTGCCGCAACATAGGATACTTACAAAATTCAGGTTGTAATCTTTAATTTCAAGGAAGGGTACGATTATGAACCAAAAGACACAGTCTGTCAGCATCACAGCACCTGCATTTATCTGTTCACAGAAAATATGGAAAAAAATCAAGCTAGTGCACTGAAGTAAATGGAGATATTGCAGTCTTTTATTTGACAAATGATTTCTCTTTCTTTGAGGCAAAACTTGGCTCCACTCTGTTTAGTTCCTCTAGGATGCCTCATCGAAAGGCGTGTTTTCAATGGATCAAACAGTAAGGAACTAAATGGAGAGGAGCTAAATTCTCTCAACAGTATTTAATCCTGGGAGTAGATCAATTTTTCTAGCTGCATTAGAACAAAAATCATTTTCAGGCTGCATCAGGGGTAGAGAATTATGTGGGCGTAAGCAAATGCTCATACAATTGCAAGAGAAACAGAAACTTCCATAATTGTGTCATTGCTTTAGGAGATTAACCTGGAAAATTATTTGAAAAGCGTAACCCCAGAAGCCTGCAATTTGGCGAACAGGGCGTTCCTCATTGGGGCCCAAGCTTTTCACAACGTTGGACATGTTAGAATTTTCTGCATCTCTAGGTGCCCCAGAAGTGCCTTGCTCAGCATCAAACTCCTCATGATCAATTCTAGCACCACCAACTTTATTGTGATATTGGTAACATCCATACATGGACAGCAAAGATCCGAGCTACAAATAGAAGTCAGGATCATAACCAAAAGAAGATATATAAAAGAACCTATCTATTCAAGCGTAGTAAGGTTACCGATGACATACCCCAAAATAGATGGTTATTAACACAAAAGTCCATCTGTCCACAACCCAATCACAAGTTAAAAACTAGAAATAAATAATGATCACGGAAAAATGATGACATCAAGCGTAGTATTATGATTAGAATTGTGCCATGTGAGATTGCATAGTTAAGCTTATTGAAGTCTACTTTGCCTTCCAAAAAGCTCTTTCAAGTCTAAATGCATATAGGAAAATCTACAACAGAAAAGGAAGGAAATCCCAATGTTGCAGGTAGAGATCGAAGCAAATTTATGTGAAAAATGCCCATGAGAATTATAAAATTGTCCTGGCAACCCATTCATGAGCAAAAGCTGCCACCTTTATAATATGAAAAATTACTTGTTGGTTTCATCACAATGATACTCAAACAAAATAAGCCTTTCAAAATAATTTTCTTTAACTCAAAGAATCCAGAAATGTGTGACGAAGAACAAAGTTCTGACAAAATATAAATTGTATATTAAAAAGGAGATAGTTTTATAAAACAAGATTCTCCATATCGTGTGAAAAAAGGATAAACTTACTGTGTATAGAAGTAAAAAATGCCACCTCCATCAACTGCAACATTCAGGGCCAGCATTAACAAAAGCACAATGAAAGCGACAACCCGGAATGCCAGCAGCCAAGCTGGATGTATTCCTCTCACAGAAGGCCTCCAAACTTCATCTTCATACAATAGTCCTGCTGGTTCCTGCCGAGTTTCTCTGCTTCCATGTTTCAATTTGCGCGGGCCTTCATATTTTGAGATGAGAATGGATGCAAGAAACAATGAAATTAAGACCAATATTGTGCAAATCAAGACCCTCCAGTTCATCCAGTAACTTGTGGTGGTTGTATCGGCAGTCATGACTGGCTGCCAAGAATTTTTCGGGGAACCTGTTAAGAAACCCATGTTGTAACTTCAACTTCTCTGATTGTTCCCAATCAATCAATCTGGAGGTTTAATGTTTGATTTAATTTCCAAATGGGAAAATCAATATGGGATCCTAAACATTTATAAAGGGAAGATTTTCGAAACACGAAAAACTCTTACTTAGGAAGAAACTGAATGAGATGAAGATTAATTGAATCAATTGTCTTAAAAAAATGATAAGAAAATCTTGCACTATTGTGATTCTGAAAACAACATAAAACCCAGCAATTGTAATTAAGGAATCTGCTGTACTACAACAAATGAAATCCTGGAAAATCTGAAACCTTAAGATGAGAAAAGCAAGAGGAAGAATCAATACTAGAAATCAGAGCTTCAAATATGTTCTGTAGCATGCCCATTATGTACTGGAAAAGGCTGAAAAGCTAAAATTCTGAAACCAAGAACCAAACCGTACATAAACCCATGATTGAGTTTTCATCAAAACCCAAAATTCATGAAAAACTAAACAAGATTGTCCAGTGACCAAAACCCAAAGCTAGAATCACCACTTCTGGGATGACTAAATGAGTATTTCCCAAACTGCAGCTAGTTAGTTATAGAACAATGGCCTCAAGACAACAACAAAAGAATGAATTTGATGCTCATTAATGGCAGAAAAGTGAGCAGAGATTCCAAGCTTTCAGAGAGTATTTGCAGTTTTGCACAGAAGAATATATATATATATATATATTTATATATATATAATAAACAATGTTAATTTGTGAATTGAAAAAGAAGGGAAGTTCTTAATTGTAAGCAAAGGAAAGGAGATATACTTACAGGGGAAAGCATGAGAGAAATGAAATGCGGTGTAAGAAGAGATGCTTTGCTTCGTTGCTTTGGAGAGAAAACTAATAAAAGACAAGAGAGATGGTAAAAGGGTAGTATGCTTTGGCTATAAGCTTCTCTCTTTTTCTTATCCCTACGGAATAATCTCTTGACATAGACCAGTCTATAATCTAATGTAACTATCTCTCTATCTATCTATATAGGGTCATTCAAAATAGAAAAATCCTTGGGACATGGAGGGTTTTCCCACCTTTTTTCTTACAGAACATCAGCCTTGTTTGAGTTTTTCTAGTTTTTGGTATTCCAGAGAGAGAGAGAGAGAGAGAGAGAGAGAGAGAGAAGGGGTGGGGACCCATAACTGTTTTCTGTGTGGATTTTGTGTTGGACTGTTGGAAGATGCTTTTTTGAACAGAAAAATGGCTTGCGTTTGTTGTGAGCTCCCCCCAACCCAAAGCCCAAGCAACTGCATGGAACTGATATGGTATACTCTGAAGTAGTGTAGATTGGTGTTATGATGATTTTGAGCAATGATCTAGGCCGTTGATCGATTGCCCATAATCTGAAAATTTTTGTTGCTTTTTCCTCTGTTGGGTACCGACATAAAAAATGGGACCCAGTCATATATATAGATTCATGTCGTGGATTTAGGCTACTAGGGCCCACATCTTTGACCTCTGTCAAGACCTCTCAAACAAGGCAAGGGCCTTTTCTTTTTCTTTCTATTTTTAACAGTTAAAAACCGACCTAACTACATATCTTCGGATATATATCAACAACCATTAATCATTTCGTGCCCAGAAAATATTCTATAATACTAAAAATTAAATATTAATTATGTGATATTATATTTTAAATAATATTTTTTTTTAATTTTATAATTTAAAATTAAAATAAATAAATAAAATAAGATAAAGATATGAGAGAAAGAACACTGAGATCGGTGTAGAATAATAGAGTTATTTGATAGCGCAATACTATTGGAGTTAATATATTGACCTAATTCATTATAATCTTTAGATTGACTGTGGGCTCCATCAAACATCAGAACTTGGTGTTGATCTAATAGTTCCATTGAACTCACATCATTATGTCAGCAAATTAGGTTAGATTTTTATATCTAAATAGAATTACTCTATTTGATATTAGGGAGTATGTTGGTTATGTTATCTGACATTGAGAACTGTGCAAAAAATATGAATTTTTTTAGAGAAAAAATAAATTTGGAGATAAAGTTTGTCCCAATGGAATTGTTCATCATCGGGGGTTATGCAATGAAAAAAATATTTTTGAATGAGAAAATAAATTTGGGGATGAATTTTATACTATTAAATAAAAATAAATAAATATTAAATTAATTTTAATTGCTATTGTATTTTTATAAGTAGATAACCTTCCCCTTAGCTATAGAAATTGTTGGAAGAAGTTTCCCAAGGATCCTTCATGTGTCAATGGATGACTTACGAAAGGGTCCACAGGTGAACCTTCCTGTGCAAATGGAACACAAGTCACATCTTTAGATTGAAACATCCAAAAAGAGTTCCAAGAATTAGGAAAAAACATATCTTCTAAGATCCAAAAATATAGAGTAGAGCTTCCGAAAAAGTTCAAAAGATTAAATCCTGTTATTTTTGAGATATTCATAATCAATAATAAAAATTGACAAATATAATTATCGTAAATATTTGGGTTAATTATCTCAATTAACTCCTAGATTATCGCTTGAAACACTCTCTTTTCACGTTACTTCAATACATATATATCATATATAATATTAACGCATTTTCTTATTTATGTGGCGATCAAAAATCATCCCACTCATCTACAAATCAGGGNATCAAGACCAAGGCCGGTTAGACTTCTTGCTTAGCACGTCACCAAGAGGAGAGCACGAGAAGTTTATCTGCACCGCCTTAAGGAGCCCAAGGCCGGTTAGACTTCTTGCTTAGCACGTCACCAAGNTTACCACTTGGTATTTTTTGAGTAATTACAAATTACCTCAAGCATGTGTAACTTCACATTTTAAAAATATAACTTGACTTTAAAAATTATAATTTTACGGTACCAAAATATCTTTTTCAAGATTATCAAACTGGGTAGTAGAAAAACAATTAAAACAGTTACATATCAGCAATCACTCTTCCTACATGCATGTCTAAGCATATATATATATATTCTCAAGATTGCAGAGATATGTTAAATTGGAAAGATCTTTAATCAGTTGCGGATACCCCCATCAATGGATCTTTGGTCCAATGATACTCTTTACCTTGTGAAAGTTTTACCTTCTTGAGATCAAGGGTTCAAGTCATCCTCCCTCTCCCCCTCCCTCTCCCAAAAAAAAAAAAAAAAGTTGCCGATACCCATGGCTTGATTGAGACAAGTAACTAATATGAAGGTTGGACTCAAACCATTTCCACATAACTCTCAGACATTGTGGAATCAATTTCACATAAAAACGTGGTTAGTAACCACGGTATAAAGAGAATAAAAATAAAAATAAACCAAGGTAATTTGGAAGGGGATAAAAAGGATTAATCTGAACCTTCTTTGATGCATACATTCTCTCTCCAATATTCCCTGACCAGCATTCTTCTTTGTGTAACTGCTAAAAATTTGTTTTGCAGCTGCCTCTTCTTCTTCTTCCGACTCTTTTTCGGGGTTTAAATAATGAGAAGCAAATATATATATATATATATATAAGATTGAAGGCCAACAGTGATAAACCATCTCCAGGTTATGGCAAATGAGGTATAAATGAATGCACACGTACAATGCATGTAGAATCTAAANTTTATAGATGTAGGATTTGTTTTCTAACACCCGAAAAGTGATGCTAAAATTACATACCATAGTGGAGCAAATGGAGAGGACAGATCAAGAAATGGATAAGGCCACCTGGTTCAAAGAACAGCAATGTTACAAAAGAACGACGTAGATATGTTTCTAGTTAACAACATGAAGGATACAATAATACTTTACCAAAGTGAGACACACGCATGGACAATCCATTGAAAAATGACGTAAACAGCTGTCCATAGAATGAAGTATGCCATTCGGAACCAAGGGAACCTCTGAAATAAAGGTATCACGATTCAAAATTAATTCATTAAAAAGAAAGAAGCTCGAAAAACAGATATGGGTTGAAAGTTGAAATCAATAATAAAGTGCTGCAAACTTACCAAGCAATTCATTGCAGTGTCACCAAGCAGAAAAACAGCATTGATTGTGTGCATGTTTATAATCAACTGCAATGTAAATGATTTCACACATCATTCAGGAATACAAAGAAGAGAGCTTCTTAAACATTGGAAATAAAAAGAACTATCAGGTTTTGTGATTGAAGCAATCAAGAAATGAAGCAGAAGTTTGTCTTTGGTAAGCAGCCTATGATGTGGCACAGAAGTAAGGTTGCAGACACAGACAATGTATAGAAAACTCATATTGAAACTGCCAAGTAAAATTTGATATTAGACAGTGAGATACTCCCTAGACTCTTTTTCATTATTTGGTTTCTCAATATATTTTTTCCAACAGTTTAAGAATATACTGATACACGAATTGGGCTACCTAGACTTTTCTTTTCTTTTTTTGTTAAGAATTTTCAATACTTTGAAAATGTGTTTTATTGTAGCCAAGGATTCAATTAATTATCAATCTACCAGACTGTAGGTCAGTACAAAATAGGTTCTGGATTTTCTAATTTGTACATGTATAAGCCTCTGCACTAATGTTGTATTCTCAAGCAGCTGAGTGACCCAAACTTTGATTGAAGAGAGGATCGTTCCACGTGATCATATCCACTTATTACGACTGAGCTTAATGCTACTTGGGTTATAGGCAATATGCAAGCCTCCTTCACATGATGAAAGAATAAAATTTTGTATATATCATCACACCTACTTGTAGAAAAACTTAACTTGCCGCAACATAGGATACTTACAAAATTCAGGTTGTAATCTTTAATTTCAAGGAAGGGTACGATTATGAACCAAAAGACACAGTCTGTCAGCATCACAGCACCTGCATTTATCTGTTCACAGAAAATATGGAAAAAAATCAAGCTAGTGCACTGAAGTAAATGGAGATATTGCAGTCTTTTATTTGACAAATGATTTCTCTTTCTTTGAGGCAAAACTTGGCTCCACTCTGTTTAGTTCCTCTAGGATGCCTCATCGAAAGGCGTGTTTTCAATGGATCAAACAGTAAGGAACTAAATGGAGAGGAGCTAAATTCTCTCAACAGTATTTAATCCTGGGAGTAGATCAATTTTTCTAGCTGCATTAGAACAAAAATCATTTTCAGGCTGCATCAGGGGTAGAGAATTATGTGGGCGTAAGCAAATGCTCATACAATTGCAAGAGAAACAGAAACTTCCATAATTGTGTCATTGCTTTAGGAGATTAACCTGGAAAATTATTTGAAAAGCGTAACCCCAGAAGCCTGCAATTTGGCGAACAGGGCGTTCCTCATTGGGGCCCAAGCTTTTCACAACGTTGGACATGTTAGAATTTTCTGCATCTCTAGGTGCCCCAGAAGTGCCTTGCTCAGCATCAAACTCCTCATGATCAATTCTAGCACCACCAACTTTATTGTGATATTGGTAACATCCATACATGGACAGCAAAGATCCGAGCTACAAATAGAAGTCAGGATCATAACCAAAAGAAGATATATAAAAGAACCTATCTATTCAAGCGTAGTAAGGTTACCGATGACATACCCCAAAATAGATGGTTATTAACACAAAAGTCCATCTGTCCACAACCCAATCACAAGTTAAAAACTAGAAATAAATAATGATCACGGAAAAATGATGACATCAAGCGTAGTATTATGATTAGAATTGTGCCATGTGAGATTGCATAGTTAAGCTTATTGAAGTCTACTTTGCCTTCCAAAAAGCTCTTTCAAGTCTAAATGCATATAGGAAAATCTACAACAGAAAAGGAAGGAAATCCCAATGTTGCAGGTAGAGATCGAAGCAAATTTATGTGAAAAATGCCCATGAGAATTATAAAATTGTCCTGGCAACCCATTCATGAGCAAAAGCTGCCACCTTTATAATATGAAAAATTACTTGTTGGTTTCATCACAATGATACTCAAACAAAATAAGCCTTTCAAAATAATTTTCTTTAACTCAAAGAATCCAGAAATGTGTGACGAAGAACAAAGTTCTGACAAAATATAAATTGTATATTAAAAAGGAGATAGTTTTATATAACAAGATTCTCCATATCGTGTGAAAAAAGGATAAACTTACTGTGTATAGAAGTAAAAAATGCCACCTCCATCAACTGCAACATTCAGGGCCAGCATTAACAAAAGCACAATGAAAGCGACAACCCGGAATGCCAGCAGCCAAGCTGGATGTATTCCTCTCACAGAAGGCCTCCAAACTTCATCTTCATACAATAGTCCTGCTGGTTCCTGCCGAGTTTCTCTGCTTCCATGTTTCAATTTGCGCGGGCCTTCATATTTTGAGATGAGAATGGATGCAAGAAACAATGAAATTAAGACCAATATTGTGCAAATCAAGACCCTCCAGTTCATCCAGTAACTTGTGGTGGTTGTATCGGCAGTCATGACTGGCTGCCAAGAATTTTTCGGGGAACCTGTTAAGAAACCCATGTTGTAACTTCAACTTCTCTGATTGTTCCCAATCAATCAATCTGGAGGTTTAATGTTTGATTTAATTTCCAAATGGGAAAATCAATATGGGATCCTAAACATTTATAAAGGGAAGATTTTCGAAACACGAAAAACTCTTACTTAGGAAGAAACTGAATGAGATGAAGATTAATTGAATCAATTGTCTTAAAAAAATGATAAGAATATCTTGCACTATTGTGATTCTGAAAACAACATAAAACCCAGCAATTGTAATTAAGGAATCTGCTGTACTACAACAAATGAAATCCTGGAAAATCTGAAACCTTAAGATGAGAAAAGCAAGNAAATCTTGCACTATTGTGATTCTGAAAACAACATAAAACCCAGCAATTGTAATTAAGGAATCTGCAGTACTACAACAAATGAAATCCTGGAAAATCTGAAACCTTAAGATGAGAAAAGCAAGAGGAAGAATCAATACTAGAAATCAGAGCTTCAAATATGTTCTGTAGCATGCCCATTATGTACTGGAAAAGGCTGAAAAGCTAAAATTCTGAAACCAAGAACCAAACCCTACATAAACCCATGATTGAGTTTTCATCAAAACCCAAAATTCATGAAAAACTAAACAAGATTGTCCAGTGACCAAAACCCAAAGCTAGAATCACCACTTCTGGGATGACTAAATGAGTATTTCCCAAACTGCAGCTAGTTAGTTATAGAACAATGGCCTCAAGACAACAACAAAAGAATGAATTTGATGCTCATTAATGGCAGAAAAGTGAGCAGAGATTCCAAGCTTTCAGAGAGTATTTGCAGTTTTGCACAGAAGAATATATATATATATATATATTTATATATATATAATAAACAATGTTAATTTGTGAATTGAAAAAGAAGGGAAGTTCTTAATTGTAAGCAAAGGAAAGGAGATATACTTACAGGGGAAAGCATGAGAGAAATGAAATGCGGTGTAAGAAGAGATGCTTTGCTTCGTTGCTTTGGAGAGAAAACTAATAAAAGACAAGAGAGATGGTAAAAGGGTAGTATGCTTTGGCTATAAGCTTCTCTCTTTTTCTTATCCCTACGGAATAATCTCTTGACATAGACCAGTCTATAATCTAATGTAACTATCTCTCTATCTATCTATATAGGGTCATTCAAAATAGAAAAATCCTTGGGACATGGAGGGTTTTCCCACCTTTTTTCTTACAGAACATCAGCCTTGTTTGAGTTTTTCTAGTTTTTGGTATTCCAGAGAGAGAGAGAGAGAGAGAGAGAGAGAGAGGGGGTGGGGACCCATAACTGTTTTCTGTGTGGATTTTGTGTTGGACTGTTGGAAGATGCTTTTTTGAACAGAAAAATGGCTTGCGTTTGTTGTGAGCTCCCCACCAACCCAAAGCCCAAGCAACTGCATGGAACTGATATGGTATACTCTGAAGTAGTGTAGATTGGTGTTATGATGATTTTGAGCAGTGATCTAGGCCGTTGATCGATTGCCCATAATCTGAAAATTTTTGTTGCTTTTTCCTCTGTTGGGTACCGACATAAAAAATGGGACCCAGTCATATATATAGATTCATGTCGTGGATTTAGGCTACTAGGGCCCACATCTTTGACCTCTGTCAAGACCTCTCAAACAAGGCAAGGGCCTTTTCTTTTTCTTTCTATTTTTAACAGTTAAAAACCGACCTAACTACATATCTTCGGATATATATCAACAACCATTAATCATTTCGTGCCCAAAAAATATTCTATAATACTAAAAATTAAATATTAATTATGTGATATTATATTTTAAATAATATTTTTTTTAATTTTATAATTTAAAATTAAAATAAATAAATAAAATAAGATAAAGATATGAGAGAAAGAACACAGAGATCGGTGTAGAATAATAGAGTTATTTGATAACACAATACTATTGGAATTAATTTATTGACCTAATTCATTATAACCTTTAGATTGACTGTGGGCTCCATCAAACATCAGAACTTGGTGTTGATCCAATAGTTCTATTGAAGCCACATCATTATGTTAGCAAATTAAGTTAGATTTTTATATCTAAATAGAATTACTCTATTTTAATATTAGGGAGTATGTTGGTTATGTGACATTGAGAACTGTGCAAAAAATATGCTATTTTTTTAGAGAAAAAATAAATTTGGAGATAAAGTTTGTCCCAATGGAATTGTTCATCATCGGGGGTTATGCAATGAAAAAAATATTTTTGAATGAGAAAATAAATTTGGGGATGAATTTTATACTATTAAATAAAAATAAATAAATATTAAATTAATTTTAATTGCTATTGTATTTTTATAAGTAGATAACCTTCCCCTTAGCTATAGAAATTGTTGGAAGAAGTTTCCCAAGGATCCTTCATGTGTCAATGGATGACTTACGAAAGGGTCCACAGGTGAACCTTCCTGTGCAAATGGAACACAAGTCACATCTTTAGATTGAAACATCCAAAAAGAGTTCCAAGAATTAGGAAAAAACATATCTTCTAAGATCCAAAAATATAGAGTAGAGCTTCCGAAAAAGTTCAAAAGATTAAATCCTGTTATTTTTGAGATATTCATAATCAATAATAAAAATTGACAAATATAATTATCGTAAATATTTGGGTTAATTATCTCAATTAACTCCTAGATTATCGCTTGAAACACTCTCTTTTCACGTTACTTCAATACATATATATCATATATAATATTAACGCATTTTCTTATTTATGTGGCGATCAAAAATCATCCCACTCATCTACAAATCAGGGACGTATTGAATAAACTAAGACGTCTCTAATGATATTCAAAATTATGAATTTTGAAATATTAATTAAAGACTTAACCACGAAATCCTACAACGCAATCCAATCTATCTTGGCGGGTTTTAGGCATGTTGTTGGACAAGTTTTTTGTCCAAATGCGTCAAAACTGTGTTTGGTCATTGTCACATAACAAAGCAAATTTCATGGGTGGTTAGGTTAGGTGTTAGTCTTACGCAACAAACTGTTACTGAAATTTAATACCCGTGATTATAGGGGCAGCCAGCCACCAGGCCATGTAACATCACTCTATGTGGGAGCACAACATGGGCTTAGGTAGGAAGAATATCAAAGAAAAATTATATTATTATTTAATTATTGAGTTATCATTGAACGGTTATACTATGTGACAAAATTGATGTAATGTAACTGTTGCACTCAATATTTACTCGGTGTATATGTATACCGAAGAAAAGTGTAATTCATTCCAAAGTTGAAACCTATAATCCTCTACAAAAAGTCTTACCACTTGGTATTTTTTGAGTAATTACAAATTACCTCAAGCATGTGTAACTTCACATTTTAAAAATATAACTTGACTTTAAAAATTATAATTTTACGGTACCAAAATATCTTTTTCAAGATTATCAAACTGGGTAGTAGAAAAACAATTAAAACAGTTACATATCAGCAATCACTCTTCCTACATGCATGTCTAAGCATATATATATATATTCTCAAGATTGCAGAGATATGTTAAATTGGAAAGATCTTTAATCAGTTGCGGATACCCCCATCAATGGATCTTTGGTCCAATGATACTCTTTACCTTGTGAAAGTTTTACCTTCTTGAGATCAAGGGTTCAAGTCATCCTCCCTCTCCCCCTCCCTCTCCCAAAAAAAAAAAAAAAAGTTGCCGATACCCATGGCTTGATTGAGACAAGTAACTAATATGAAGGTTGGACTCAAACCATTTCCACATAACTCTCAGACATTGTGGAATCAATTTCACATAAAAACGTGGTTAGTAACCACGGTATAAAGAGAATAAAAATAAAAATAAACCAAGGTAATTTGGAAGGGGATAAAAAGGATTAATCTGAACCTTCTTTGATGCATACATTCTCTCTCCAATATTCCCTGACCAGCATTCTTCTTTGTGTAACTGCTAAAAATTTGTTTTGCAGCTGCCTCTTCTTCTTCTTCCGACTCTTTTTCGGGGTTTAAATAATGAGAAGCAAATATATATATATATATATATAAGATTGAAGGCCAACAGTGATAAACCATCTCCAAGTTATGGCAAATGAGGTATAAATGAATGCACACGTACAATGCATGTAGAATCTAAATTGGTAAGCACACACACAATCGACATGAGCACCCATACTATATCCAATTTTTTCACGATACACACTGATGGGTTAAGCCCAAATAGTCCAATTTATGTGTTAAAGTCCAACCCCAGTTNAGAGAGAGAGAGAGAGAGAGATGTGGCAGAAGCCATACCTTTCATTGGAATCACTTGAGACTACAAGTGCAATCAAGCTTAGCTCCTCAAATTTCAAGAAATGCAAGAGGAAGAAGCACTGAACTGTATGCCAGCGGCAAATTGCAACATAACAAGTTTATAAGCAAGGGCTGCATGTTAGTAAGCAGTTTATTCAGGTAACTAACACTAGAATTGCCAAACAGCAACGTCACTTGAGTCATTCGTTCTGTACAGTATTTCAGGCTTAACAAAGAGAGAGATTCAAATGGAGAACTTGAAAGACAGTCTGCCACAACTCAAGAGACACCATATTGGCATGAAGCAACCAAAGACGCTTCTAATTTAATTATGTCCCTGCTTATAAACCTAGGCTCTCTAGCAATCTTTTGATTTCTGAAAACATGCAGCATAGTTTATGCTCAGAAAGGCATTAAGAAACGTATGATTTAATTCACTGCTAATATGAACCTGCCTGCTGCTTTCAATTCTAGAATGTTCCTAAGAACATAAAATTTGACAAAAAAATCAATTTTCACAAACAATAAAAGCCCTTACCAAATGTATTTGGTGATTCCCAAATATAAAATCAGGAAAAAAAGTTAATTCTCCAGTTGGGAGTTTCAAATCAAACTTCCACTACATATAGTCACACGATTTTTACATTCATATCTCACAGTTGATCTTTCCATTCATATCTCACAGTAGAAATTTGCCAACGGGATGATAATGAAATTCTTAAACTTGCCACAGCAACACATGTTGGCTTTAATGTGTACTTCTCCAAAACGGTAGCGTAGCACTCTGGCCCATCAATTCCATGGAATACGGCACATTTGAATCATATGTTAGTGTCTCCTAAATAGTTCCACCGTTTATAACTCAAAAAGTATCAGTACCATCCCCAAATGTGGAGAGAGAAAAGGGAGCAATAGCCACGTTGAATGTCCGTGAGCCTACTTTATCAATATGCTTCATCTCAAAGTCACCCTCCTGCAAGGTAGCATAACTATATAAGTAAGAATTTACGAGAAACTACAGAGAAAACAGAACGAAAAAGTAATGTGAATGCTCACAAAAATGACCATCCTGGGACCAGAGCTAATCAATTATACTTGCACGGAGATACATGTGCAAGAGTTTTGCAAAGGCAGACCCTATTAGGAACTGCAGTTCATCTCAGTGAGTTAAGTGGGTGTGGCCAAAGCACCACTTCCAGGGGACCAATAGTTTATTAGTTCTTTGTACAGGAAAGCAGGAAAAAATCTTCAAGAACTATGCAACCTCTTGGGAGAATTTGGTCATAGACTCATATGCACTACCAGTTTGCTACAGTTATTAAGTTTGTGTATGTACGATGGTAAGTGGCACCTATCATTACAACTCTTTGCCATCACAATGATATACATCATTCACGCAACACGTGTTACTCATCTCTAGGTCATCTTAAGCAAGGCTAAAAGGTTGGCTTCATCAATTTGTTTGGGAAAAAAATATCCAATTTAGTTTCAAGGAACAAACACAGAAATAAAAGTCACCCAGCATACCATTCTCCCACTAGGAGTGCTTAATGGACATGCAGATGAATACTCAAAACCAGTATTGGGAAGTATAACTGGCTGTTCACCAATAACTCCAATTCCCCTGTGACAAGGAAACGTAAATGCCAAAATAAATAAACAAGAAAAAGGACACAAGATAATAGCTTAAGGTAAGTAGTAACTGCATCCAGACTCATGACATCAAATTCAGTCATTTGAAAGAGCAACTCACCAAAAATTGTCAATTTTCCCATTGGCATCGGTGATGATCCAGTGCCTTCTGAGAAGCTGAACTGGGCGGTCTGAAGTATTGGTGATTCTTATTCTATATGCAAAAAAGTACTGGCCTTTCGAGGGCTGACTTCGGCCTTCAATGTAGACACTCCTAACTTGAACCCTGATGCCCTGAAAAAGCGAAGATTTAAATATACCCCCATATTGCAAAATTTCAGGCAAAAGCTTTATCAAAAGTGAGATAGAACTTTGGATTTGAGGTTCAGATATGAAGGATGCAACAAAGTAGTTACACCTTCGCCTAGCCAATCTGAGCTCCTATGATAATGTCTATGTTGTCAACCAACCTCTGGCAGTGACGCAATACCCATACACATTCATCCAAGAAGCCATAAACTAAGAATTTGCATGGATTTTCCTCGGTTCCCCTTTTTGCATAAAATTATGCAGGTATATATTACGCTCAAATTAGAGAAAATAATTGCGGTGGACATTGAGAGTTCTGATAACCAACAGAGACATCAAAGAAAACATTATGTTCTAATGCAATCTTTCTCACTGAATAAGTTCACTTTACTAGTTGCTGAAAACCCCCTTAGTTCAAACAAATTAACCTAGAATCCCACATCCAGAGCAGTTTAACGCCAGAGTTGCTGATTAACATCAGAATTCTCGCCTCAGATTCCAACCAGGACGGACTATCAAATCAAGTCGAACACAATGAGCGAATCAGCTTTTACTAACTATCTCTATGCTCTCAACAGAAATGATACTACCAAATATATGCATAAAATGATGACATTTCTCAAAATCATCTTAGACATAACATCGCCAAAAAAAAAAATTAACATGTGACAAATGTTTGAGAGCCAAATCAGAATAAATGGAAAATAAGAAGGGCTATAGTCAATTTGATGGAACACCAATTCATCTCCTAAAGAACCTCAAGTTAGAACACTAAAAAGAAAAGGGACATCAATACATGTTTCTGGAGAAAAAAACCCATGTTATTCCATAAATATGCACATTCCTTTAAGTAACGTCGTGGTAGAATTAAGAAAGCATAACATTTTGAACATTCAAGGCAAGAAGTATAGAGCAACATCCGGGTTTCCTTTCTCATTTTTAATTCTCAAATTTGTTTTATGCTTCCTCCTACAGGTGTCCAAGATTGGTTTGTAAACCGGCTCGTTCAAAACTCAGCTCTACAAACTGATATTTAACTTCAGATGGATACCTATTTGGCAATGGAAGTTACATGATAGAATGGCCCAGCATAATTAGCACACGCAATGTTTAGAAGTCAAAACAATGCCTAATAGCAGTTACAAAAGTCAAATGCTAATTTTGTAATGCAGATCTGCTCCCCAAAAGACTCAACGAGCCGGATGTTGATCATACCAAGGTGGTTGCATCACTTGAACATGTCAAGAGAGAGTGGGGAGCAATTTCCTTTAGCTCATTACGGTACCTTGCTGCATCCTGGAGGAGAAGAAGAACAATAAAAAAAAGATAGGACAATAGACCATTGGAAAGTTAACAGATACAAGTGAACCATATGAAAATTCACAGATTACCAGCCATAGTCTAGAATAGATTCTCGGTGCCAATCAAAACATGGAATAAAGAATTCTTCATGCATTTGAATCAGATTTTGAACGAAGAGTTTATTTCCTGTAGCATAAAATGTAGCCATTTCTACAGAATCTACATTCAGATAAGCATCCTTTTTAGCAATGTACAGTCAGATAAGCATATTTTTCGGTTCCCAGTCTCATTATGAATAAATACTCAGCTCTCGATGCATTTGTAATGCTTGATAAAAACAATAGCAGACTGGGGTATATGCAAAAGATCCATACACCCAAATAGAGCTAGTGATCCCAATTATTGAATAAGTTGGCATGGTCAAGCCAGCAATCCATGTGCAACACTCCTTCATTGCGAGGACAAAAACACAAAACATGAATAAGGGACATGTTTAATGATGTCTAGCTTCAGAGGTTACAAAAAACGAATGAGCAGGGACTGGCTGAAAATAGTTTTCATAAAGCCAATGCAAATAATTTAAAGCTTATTGATGAGAGTTCTACTGGAAAAATAGCTTTGCATATCAGACTTTGCCTTGTCAAAGAAAAGACTAGCCCATGATACAGTTCATTTTAATCACAGGGATCACTGCCTAAGGTTGAACCGAAACTAGCTTGATTCTTCATCTAAATGATTTTCATCATTTTGTTTTGCGTTACATGTACTCTATCTTTACTACAATTTTTTTTTTCTTTTGAGGGATTGGGTAGCTTTCCTTTCCCAGATTCTGAAAGCATATGCCATATGCTATGAACCCACCATTCCAATATCTCATATTCACATATTACAAGCTGAAAAATACACATCGAAATTGGAAAGCCCAATCTATAGAAGCAACATGTACCTCAAACCTCTCATCTGCAATGGCCTGTTTCAACAATCTCCGTAGACGCAAAATTGGCTCCTCTTCCTCAAACAATTTCAATGAATCTCGCAGCCTCGCTGCTTCTTTATAATCCTGCATTCAAATCGTTCTTAATACTAAACAATACTTATACAATTTCATCAAACATAGACACCAACTATAAATCAACCGAAAATTCAAAATCGATAAACTAATATACAGATATTATGTACACATGTAAACATATATGCATGCATAAATAAGTCTGAACTGACCTCGGATTTCGCAGCAACTTCCATTTGCTGTTTCAACAGAGCATAAGTTTGACTCCGCGAAAGAAAGGAACTCGAACTACCACCCCGACTCCCACTCTCTCCACCACCACCACCGCCAATATTTCTCTCCGGCGTACAGGCTACGATTTTACATATTCTCATATGATATCTGCAATTCAACCATTGCCTTCTCGTCCCCGATTCGAGCTCGGCGACTCCGCTGCTGAGTCGACTCAACCATGAACTTTTCGTCCCCGCATTGAAATCAGAGATTACCTTGGGACTTAATGAATGCATTTTCCTTCAAAATTTTCCCAGAAAAAATTTTCGACAAAATTTTGATAGTTATGATTGTTTAAGTGATCCAACAAGTGTTCTGAAAATCAGGAATTTTTGAAGTGACGAAGACACTGGCAGCTGTGAAATCCCGCATGTTTATTTACGGGATGTACCATTTATCTATGCTGGCCGTGAAGTTACCGAAATAGACATGAAGAGATTTTCAGCCGACACGGTAACACAACCTATTACCAATTTTTTTTTNGGATGTACCATTTATCTATGCTGGCCGTGAAGTTACCGAAATAGACATGAAGAGATTTTCAGCCGACACGGTAACACAACCTATTACCAATTTTTTTTTTTTATTATTATTTTTTACGATTAGGATATGCAGATTAATTTACATATAATTCGATTAATTTTTTTCTTAATTTGGTCAAAGTAGGTCATTTTACCCCATCAATCTTATTAGATGAGATTGACTCGTGTTAGATTTTAACAAGTTTGTGTCAAAAATTACTTCGCTCATACGTACTTCATATATTGTGTATGACTCCTATATAACTGAGTTCTGTCATGTATTTTTTTTAATTAATTTTATCCATATCCGATTGGTTTATTAAGCTTTCCGTATTAGATTCACTCTTTTACGAAATAGATGGTTTAAAGAAAATTCAAACTTTCTAATTTTGTTTCGTGTTTGTATCGTGTTAACGAATCATGTCATGTTTTGACACTCTTAGATCATTTATGTCGGGACTAAAGAATTCATGAGAAACAAAAATCTTTCATAAACTAACTTCAAACTATCTGTCAAATTTTGAATTTAAAATGTCTAAATTTATAATTCATATATGTCTCCGTTGTGCTACCAATTAACTTCATACCAAATTCATGGCAACTAATTACAATACAATTGATTGACATAAATGATAAAATTAATGATGATAGTATTATCTATAAATAATTTGATTTTAACATGATAAATGTGTTTTTCTATTATAGCATGCAATTTTTTTTTTTACAATTTTCATTTTGTTTAGTTTACTAATCTAGTTTCAGATAAGTTCTTATAAAATTACTCCTACGATTAGTTCAGAGTTATAAAATTAAATGATCTAAATTCAAATTTTAATAATTTAAAAAATTAATCAAGATAACTCGAACAAGCTTGACTGTTAAACTAAACAAACAAACGGATGCAAGTCAATTACCATCTCTAGCAGAGCAGGAGTTTTGAGGGTATTTTGGAGATAATAAAATGGAATTTGTATTTTATGTTGATCTGTACAGATCTGATTTCTGGTGAGACATAAGCCTAAATTTCAATGAAAGATTTTTTTGCGGTTTATGGAAGAACATATGTACGCGTGGCGTCGTGTGAGCTAATGGAAGATAGACCATATATACGTGGCGGGAGCCACATGGTTGTGATCACGTGTTACGCGCCACTCGGAAGTGCTCTGTGGAGGCTCAACGTTAATATCCAGTGTCCACTTTTTTTTTTTTTTTTTGAAAATAGATATGCTATACATCATTTCATTTATTCGTTAAAAAAAAAATTATTTTCACACCTTATTTATGTAATAAAGTAAATTACAATTTAAATCTCAAAAGATAAACAAAATAATTTTATTTTTCACGGTTCAGATCACTTTAAATTTTATTTTAAAATTAATTTAATCGTTAATATTAACACCCTCAATTTAATAAGAAAAAAATAGTCCTTAAATGTGTGTTTAGAAAGACTTTGTAAAAGTATTTATAAAAATTATTTCTTTTAAGTACTTTTAAAAAAAATAGTGTTTGAAACCGCCCCACCACTACCCCTACTCTCACCACCACTATCTCTACCACCATTGTCGCCATCGCCACCGCCACCATCAACGCCACCATGGTCATTGTCACCAATCACAACCATCACCGTCTCTTACCGTCACCTCTCACTCTCACTATAATCGATATTTAAATTCATTTATCTTTCTTCTATGTTTGTAATTTAATTTTGAATATAAATACAAATATATTTATTGTTTCTCATTTTTTATTACTCTGTGTTTTCAGATACAAATAATAACTAGTAATTAATATGGGATTCTACTATGATATCAAAATTTACTATACATTTACTCTTCATTTAATAGAAATGTATAACGTGTAACTTTTTTTATTAAATTTTCTTTTTTTTTTCTTCATGTTTTTTAATCAATAGTTGGATTGGGGATCAATATTTTGTCACGCTTTGCATCCTTAGTACCTAGGATTGTTGATAGATCGAAATTTGATTCAAATTCGACCTAAAATTTCTATTTTATAGTTTACATATTTGAATTTGGATATACCTATATTCATTTCAATTATGATTTGATTTGAAATATGTATATATTTATATATAAATTTTAAATAAATTAAGTAATTATTTGAAAAATTTTAGATATAATTTGTTAAATTTTAGTTAAATTAAGGAATTCAAATCGGATTAAATTTTGAATTGTTATCAATTTTGAATATGGATTATAAAAATAAAATTTGTTGAATAATCAGATTGAATTTAAATTAAACTTTTAATCTTTTAGAATCAAATTTTAATTAATTAAAATACGATTCAAATCCGATCAGCTGATACACATATTAGTACCGTATGCTTATCTATAAATTTGAAGGATTGCACATGTAGAGAGATATATTACAAATAGAGAGGTATATTACAAAACTTGTATCTGCTATGCTTTGCTAGGCTCTCTTTTATAGACAAGCCTAGCTCATCCATAATGACTTGCATTAACAATCCAGCTCATTAAGACAACAATTGTTCAAATTAACATGGCCCATAAATATAAGTCAAATCAAAATTAATGAAAAATTTTAAAGTTCGTCTCGTTATACAAACTTTTTTGTATTTAAGTTTGCCAAAAAAAATTATTTACTATGAAGTCTTTTTTTTTATCAATTTTACCAAAATATTCATTTCCTTCATTTCCTTTAAAAATCAAATAAATTAAAAACTAAAAATTTTTAAATTTTAAGAGTTTGACTAATATTAAAAAATTTATTCTCTCGTATTTATCTATATTCATATATAAGTTAGGATTATATCTCATATATATATACTAGCGATACCTTGTGACTAAAGTCATTGTACACTGAATTATTACATTATACATGCATTGGAATGTGTGTATATATGTACAGCTGTGTGTTGTAAAATGTGTGTTAAGTTTTTGAAATTTATGGAAAAAATATGTGAAATTTAGGAGAAAAATATGCCCTACATAAGTTCAATCTCTCATATGTTTTATTATATATATATATATATATATATATATATATATANTACCCTCTTTTAAATTTTAGTTTGTCTTTATTTAAATTTGAGTTTCTCCGTTAGAGAGATCTATACCAAAACAAGTTTTTTACCCTTTTTTAACTCAAATTTGGGCAAGAGTTCGGGTTTCTATTGGAAATAGTCTCAGGAATAGTTATCCAGTTAAGAGCATTTTACCTAAATACCCTTATATGGGCCTTAGGTAGTAGGTCGCCCATAATCATTTAAATTAGAAAAATTTGGAAGTCAGTACAAAAATTTAGATTTAATTGAACTAAACTACAATAAGGAAACGTATTTGACCCTAAGTGCACTTTTTTGAAAAAAAAAAAACTAAAGGGCCATTATTATTTTATTACTCTCTCTCTCTCTCCATTACTCTCACTCCCTCTTCCCTATTTTCTCTCTTTCTCTCTCTCACATTGATAATTTATTTATTTTTTAAATATGTAAAGATTTGATTTAATTTTTTTATCTCTCTCCCTTATTTTTTCTCTTTCTTACTCTCTCTCCCCCTATTTTCTTTCACTGTTACTTTTGCTCTCTTTATTCTCTCTCTCTCCTTATATCAACATTATAACACAATTACACCAATCAGTTACACTAATTAGTTACAATTATCATACAATACACCAAAAAGTTACTCATGTGTCTACAAGGATTTAATTCAATGCTAAATTTGGATTAGTTGTAAATTCTAAGATTAGATGAAGTCCACTTCTCATTCATTGGCTATATTGAATTGAGTCTCTAAATTAAGTCTCAATAATATTTTTCAAAAAATAATAAGGTAGATATATATATATATATATATATATATATAAAATAAAATAGTTTACAATTCAAATCTCAAAAGATAAATAAAATGATTTTTGCTATTTGCGGTTGAGATCGTTTTAAATTTTACTTTAAAGTTAATCTAACGGCTAATATTAATACCTTAAATTTAATAGAAAAAATAAGTCTCTAATGGTGTGTTTGAAGTGACTTCTTAAAAGTACTTCTAGAAATTATTTCTTATAAATACTTTAAAAAAAAATTAGTGTTTGAAATCGTCTCACTATTATCTTTACTACCGCCACCACTACCACCACTGTCATTGCCGTCACCACCATCGCCGTTATTGCCACCACTGTCGTCGTCGTCGTCGCCACCGCACTACCACCACCTCGATGATCATTGTCATCCACCACAACCATCACCGTCTCCTACCACCACCATTGTCACCCACCACCTCTCACCCCCTACTACAAACCAATGCTTAAATTTTTTTATCTATTCTCTATTGTGATTTGATTTTAGATATGAATACAAATATGCTTATTATTTATCATTTTTTATTTTTCTGTACCTTCAGACATAGACAATAACTAATATATATATACTAACATTAAAAATAAAAAATAATAACATTCAAATACAAAAAAAAAGTATTATTTAAACACAAACAATAGTATTATTCAAAAATAAAAAATAGTAATATTTTATATTAAAATTTGAAAAAATAACCGTAGTAACATACTCAATAAAAAATAGTAACATTCAATATTGATATTTCAGAAAAATAGTATTTTTTAATATTAAAATTTAAACACTAAAACATAGTAACATTCAAAAATAAAAAATAGTATTATTGTATATTAATATTTGAAAAAAAATAGTAACATTGAATATTTGTATTTTTTAAAAAATAGTAACATTTAATATTAACAGTAACATGCTTACCAAAAAAAATAGTAACATACTCAATAAAAAATAGTAACATGAAAAAAAGTAATAACATGCACAAGTACAACAAAACATAAATAGTAATATGA